TAGCAAAGAGGGAAAAAATGGTAAGTGCTGGAAGTTGTCCATGCTACAAGAGCTTTCTCAGGCCAGTTTTCGGCAGGCAGGGTGAGGGGGGAAAGCGTACTACTTACACCTCAAGCATCATGCAGTCACCGTAGGAGAACAGAAGGGCAATTCAAATAAAAGTTTACAGGCACATTTATTGATCTGTTAAGCATAAAATCTCAGTTTATTAGCTATTGCATTAGCAACCTTTAAAACTTCAGTATGCCACGCTTAGAACACGTACACACAGTAACAGAGGTTTACAGCCCCACTGAGCGAATGCCAGAAATCAGAAGAGCTGCCCTTTCAAAAGAGTTCAGTGACCTTCTCTTCTCTGCTGAACCTAAGAAACACTCCACCTCTTGGTGCTAAACACATGGCTTGTAGGATACTGTAGTCACAAAGGTAACCTCAACAACTGTAGATTCTCTCTTCCTCAGTTTTAAATACTTGCAGCTCAAGCTCCATCCTTTTGTGCCCACAAAAGCAGCTGCCCTATTTAAAGCCTGACATTCCAGCTTCCTCCCCCTCTTCAGGGCACCAACAGGACAGTAGTTTTTGCAATGCTACATTCTTGACGTGACAAATTAAAAAAAAACCCTTGTGCTGAAGGGGATAGCTCTTAAATAGGGAGAGAGAGTCATGCTAGCACACAGTGCTCTTGGGTACCGCCTGGCATGTTTGAGACAAGAGCTCTGTACCCAGCTACGCAGGGAGGTTTTACCTCATACACTGACTGCACTGACCTTTTCAAAGGATGCTTTTCTCACAGTTCCGAACTCATCTGCCAGAGGAGAGCACCGTAGGAGGGCTGGTAGGCTTCTTTCCTTCCCTCTCCCAACACTGCTGAGTTAAATCAGATGGTTTCAGCCTGTATAAATGTGCCCTGGCATAAAGCAGACTGAAGCCAAATACTAAAACACACTGAGTAGTAGCTCGCTTTTGTGCATCTCTTAGCATGCATGTAGGCAGCCTACCATAAACACACACTGTCTTTTACCAATTTATTTTTTTTAATGGAAATGGGTCACTACTACATAATATATTATACTACATATTCAAACAACAACATTTTCCAATTCCCATATCTCCGTATACTGCTCCCTCCTGAAACTCCTTTAAAAGCAGTCCTTTAGAGTGCCTCCGCCTACACGTTCTCACTGAGTATTTCCGTTAGATGGAAACAACTGATCATCAGTGTAGATAGTCCTTAAAAAAACCCACAACCCTTCTACTTCAATTTCTTTTTTTCATTCTCTTGTTGCTCATATCTATTGAAAACAAAGGATTCTGTAGCTATTCAAGGTTAATAAACTCCAATTTTTTTACCCAGATAAGGGTAGCAGAAGACCTGGTAAAACATTCCATGGTTATGCAGCCTATGTTTGTATGAAGTTCATACCCTCGGGTACAGGAAGGGAGTTTGCAGGAACAAAATTAAAATGTTATTATTTCAATTTGATAATTACTCATATTTACAGAACTCAACAGAAAGTGGACATTACCACTGGAAAGTCACACTCCAATGATAAGTTAAGCAACACATAGTAAGTTATTAACAATGAATACAAACAGCTCATTGTTGTACTACGTTTATTCATAGAAGGTATTCACGATAATCTTGTCACACTCAATATTTTCCCTCCCTCATAACACAGAATCATGGCAAGCCACTTCCCCATCACTAGAGAATGACACATATTGCTATAGTAGAAATAAAAGTTTGATTTACTTGGTGAAATAATCTCTTAAGAAAGATCTGTATTAGAGGGTGGGTTGTTTCTTTTTTTTTTTTTTAAAAAAAACTGAAAAACTGAAAATATACTATCATGAAAACAGAAAGGTAACCTAATGACAGTCTTAGTAGGAATTACTTGAGAGATTTTCCAGTTTTCCACTTTCAGAGACACCTGTGAAATTCTTCAAAGCTTCCAGTTTCCACCCACTTCTGAGAAGGTTTCAGATCACTACTAGTATTTTGTTCAAGTTTCCATTCCAAAATGGAAGCCCATTTCTTTTGAGCTCTACCAGTCAGCACTCAGCTTCGTGCCCCATAGAAAATATCCCATCAGTAACCAGGGGAAAAAAGTTCCAGTCATTCGCTGACACAGACTATGGCCCTCTGTCATGTTTACACATCCAGCTAAAGGCAAATTCAGCAGTTTTGGAAGAGAAGACTGTCTTGTTCAGTCTGAAGATATCTACCTGGTATCAGGTTAAATATATCAGTTATAGCCAAACTTGTCTCTTAATGCCTCATTATCTTCTATCATGACTCATTCCCAGCAAACTTCAGCTCACAAGCTCTCAGGCCGCATGCTGAAATACCGCTTCCTGGTCACTGCTGGTTATTGGAAGACACTTCTGCCTCAGACCCACGATAGCTACTCTCCAGCTGACTTGTGCAGCTGAAACCAAGACGTGGTCATCTTCTTGCTACCATAAAGTACAGAGGTTTTCAATTAATTCAGCCAAGGAGGTTTGTTTTACCCATAAGTAAAAAACCCCACTTGTTTCTGGGCCAGGTACTGGGGTACTAATCTTAATTCAGGCAAGTAAGGTAGCATGTAAAGGAAGCAATAACTGATCTATCACTACAGACAAAAAGGTTATAAGCGCCTATGAAAAAATAGGTGCAGCAATGAAATAAAAGCCATGATTAATCCACTTATACTAATGGGTAACCTTCTGGTTTAATCTTATCGACAGATTTGCTGTCTAGTCATGACAAAGCAACAGCCTGGCATTCATGAGCCTTGTTTCACTTGTTTGATTTCTGCACTGTTTCTCACCATCTCCTGTACCTGACTGCCTTGTAAACAACTCCTTGTCTCAAGGAGTGGTAAAATTCTCCTTCCCCCATTCTCTGGAGGCTCATTAGACTACTTCCAGGTGATATTGTCTCTGATTAAAGACCACAAGATGAACTGAGCTCAGTCACCAAAACAGGGCCTTCCTTCTGTTGCTCCCACCACTTGTCAGTTTAATCACTAAAACTGACAGAAGACTATCAACACAAGGAAATTTTGCCATCTTTTAAGTAAGTCAGATCAGTTCATCGATATCCAAAAAGCACCAGCACGGCAGAAGGTAAATGGCAAGAATGAGAAGAAAGGCCTTTCCCTCTTGGCAGCAATGAGCTATTTTATCAGCTCATGCTGCACATGAAACTGTACCTTACACTGACCCTCACAATCCGCAGTAATCCTCATCTTGTAAAAAACATATGTAGTGCTAGGGTGTCTATATCCCGCATCACGTGGTTCTTGCCTGAGAGCAAACATGACAGTAGTTAATCATTGAGAAGCAACAAATCCAAGACCTGTCTCCTGTACTTTCACCTACATAACATACGTGAATTTATTCTCCTTCCCATCTCTCACAAAAAGGCATTCTACTCCATGCACAACTAATTGTGTAGACATCCTTTCTTTTCTCCATTGCTTTTCAGGAACCGCCCAACCTCTTTCTCAAATGGCTTATAAACAAAAAAATTCAGTGTCGGAAGCGACCCAGCAAGGCCGTGGAAGACATCACAGAAGCTAACTTTGCAAGTTATTAGCATCAAGACCTGATGTCTCCCACTATGACATGGCATAGTAACAAGGGCACTAAGACGGACAGGCCTCTTGCTCAAAGATTTTTCCCAGGGTCTTGCTCAGGGCTTGTCACGCGAGTCTAAGCAGCAGGCAAAATGATAACGCCTGTGCTGTGAACAGTGAACATCTAAGCAATGCTCAGGCTTACCCCTCTTACCCACTGGCTTTCGACAGTGATAACACCTTACTGTCCATGCCGCAGGATTTCGCAGAAAAGGAGGCTGAACACACCCGAGTCTGTTCAAGCTTTCTCCTTCTACTGAAGAGTTACTGCTCAGGCTAGATTGCATCTTTCTTAATCTCATCCAAACAACAGTCACTGAGAAACTTCAGAAAAATATTTACATTTAGATTTAACTGGCTCCTGCCGAGCTCCTGTTAACTCAAAAGCTGCAGTTTTGTCTAGCAGTCCCATCATGAGAAGTATCAAGTAATGTTAGTATGCAAACACACTGTTTGCTTAGACCATGTTGCTTAGAATGTTTTAATGCAAGACATTTCCACAAAATACATGACTTTCCGTAATTTGAATTAATACCCTTCTAGGGGAGAGGAAATTAAAAAAAAAAAAAAAAAACAAACCCAAAACCAAACAAACAAAAAAACAAACAATACAACAAAAAGCGTCAAGATGCCTCTCTCAGCCTGCACAAAGATTTCTAAGTTCTTCATACCTAATAAGCCATGGAAAGGGAAGACATATCAAGCTGACATAAAAAAACCCACATGATGAACTATCACAGGTAGGTAGGTAGGTAAAGGAAAGAGGCTTTAAAACCAGTTTACCCTCCTAAGACAACATGCAACAGCTTTCCAGGTTTGTGTTATTAAAATTACTGATAGAGCAAACAGAAGATGAGCAATAGGAAAAATACAAGAAACAGAAGTTAACTGGGGAGTTTTACTTTTTACTGACTTTTAAAAGGAGCTGAGTTTTAATATACTGAACAGAGCAATACTTCCAGCAATAAACCAGACTAGACAGAAGTGTAAGACATGCTGAATTTAGATGCAACCAATTCTGAGACACTCAGCAATATGAGAAAGATGGGATCAAACATACCACCCTTTAATCATAGATGGAGATAATACAAGGCTTTTCAATAATGTCTTAGATGCTGTGAAAGCCCTGCTGTCCCATGAGCAAATAAGCAAGTTTAAATCCTGCGAGTGAAGTAGATCTGGCATGGGGACAGACATTTAAGGAGGAGAAAGCTCTAGACAGCACCCAGATAACATGACAGGGCTGTTGGTGACCTACCATTCAGATATTTAGGTTGCACTTTCCCAGCCAGAACATTAAGGAGGTACTTCTACAGGAAGCACGTCCATTATTTCACCCGCAGTGAGTCACCTCCCTCCATGCTGCAGGACCCTCACCTTGTTATAGAACTCCTGCTCCCTGGGACCACGAGGTGGTGGCTGCAACTGCTTCAGGACAGTCCCATCCGGATGCTGCAGTATACCTAGAAGAGAGACATTTCCTTCAGGGCTTAGTTTTAGGAGATACAGCTTTTTTTTTTTTTTTTTTTTTTTTTTTGGGGGGGAGGGGGGGAAGGGACACGACGACAGTGGGGTGGGAGTGGTCAGAAATAGTAAATATACCACCAGGGACAGCCTATTTGCAAAGTTGTACTGATTTCAGTATTGCACAGTAGAGTAGAAATTGGCAACTCCTACACTGAACCCTTCACAGAACTTTGCTTGCATTCCTCTTTTTCCAGCCATCAGATGATTTGTTGGGTCTAATTCTGCTCTAGGCCAACACAGTGCTGGGATTTGACATTAAAAGTTCCACCCAAAAAAAACCTTCATTCAACTATGGAAGATTACATAGACACTCCCTTTTTAAATAACTGATAAGTTGTTTTTCCAACAGTGCCAAGAAGTTCAAGGAGTCAGTACCAAGTTCAATGCCTTTCTCACTAGCTAACATATAAATATATGTCCTGTGAATGTATTTCTGTACTAGTGGCATAGAAAGAGCACTTCTGCATTACTAGACCCCTACAGCATTAATCAGATGGTACTATTTGTGTCACCCATAATTACAACACAGTTTTATCCCAGCCAGGCAACCACCTTCATCATGCCTGCACCAAAAACCCCCAAAATATCCTCACAAAACTGCATTAATGACTCTCCAGTCAGCAGTATTGCCAAGTAGCCACGTAAGAAATGCAACTGAATATCTGAGGGTACTCGAGAGATGGATACAGTCAAGAACTGCATCCCTATGAAATGCGCTCTTAATTTCAAGATCATCAGTTGCAAGGGAAAAAAGGAAAAACCCACTTCTGGAAAATAAATTTTCTGCTAGGATTTATTCATAGCTTTTCATATAGTAATTTATTTTCCTTAGAAAGGAAGCAAAAACATCAACTGTATCCAAAATAGGTTCACATCTTCAGTTTACCACTCGAGGAAACACGGTAAAACAAGCCAGGAGCTTTGTGTCCCGAAAAGAACTTGCAGTTGTAACAGCAATTGTGTTTTCATCTTTTAGAAAGCATTACCTCTGAATAGGCTCCGTTGTGCTGTCTCTGAAACTAAACAAAATCTTTAGACACTAAGACATTTACTTGAAAACAACCACCAGACTTCGAAAAGTTGTTTTATTACTTGGCTGTGCCAATGAACAAAGAGCAGTTTTAAAAATTTGCATAAGACAGCTCTCAAGTCATGTTGCTTGCTGAAAGTTGAATTTTGCGTACTTTCCAGAAAAATACTGCCACACAAGGATGCGCAGAGTCCCACAACATCTTCAAGAGGCAATAGCTTCATGCCCCTCCACTCCACCCTCTACCCTTTCGCATGTGCTGGAAACCACTTAGCAAAGCGTGCAAAGTATTTGAATGGCACATGTTTGGAATGTGAATTGCTAATAATCATGCCATTAAAAAAGGTTTTATAACACATACTCCTCAAAATCTGCGTGTTGGCTTTGCCACTAAGACAAGCAGACCATCGACAAGGTAGAAAAACCAGGCAAGTATTCCTGGAAGTAGAACCCATACACTATTGGATTGATACATATTACTTGAAGAGTTTAATATAACTTGACACTGTCTAAAGTTCCCTCATCTTCTTGACAGACTAGAGCACTGACTCTAACTGTGACTGAGGCAGGCCTGGAAACCAAAGACTCATGTTTCAATATTAAGCACAAAGGTGAAAACTCTGTAACCTTCCCTCTGATCTACAACCACCACCAGATACCATCACCTGCAGATCATACTAACATATGGACATTGGTCATGGTTTTGTTCCAAGGTTCCTGGTGTTTTTCAGCACAGACAGGGAGTAGTATTGTTTTGATATACGAATATGCTATTTAGCATTTCTGAAGAAGCAGCAGAATTATATCAAAATTAAAATTATGAAATATCTCACAAACATTTCTCCGTGGTTCTGCATGCAAAGCTTGCTAGCTATCTTGAAACTCGAATCTACTGCAAAAAACAACCAGTAGAGATGTACGTGCTCCTCTAAACAACAACAACAACAAAAATCATATTCAATCCACATGCCTCACTGAACTACAGACAAAACCTGTTCTGCACAAACACGCCTGCCATCTACATTAGAAAAGACCCTCTGTCATCTGAGGGATCTAATAAGGACTGACCAGCACATATGTGCCACCTTAACCTTTGCACCAGCAAAACAGCAGCCAGAGTTAGAAATTTTGTGATTTGTGTAACTGAGCAAGTCACATGGAAAAAAAACAGCTCCTTTAGCTGCAGAATCCCACTGATGGTTTGGGGACCTCCAGCACTTGGCAGATACAGGCACCAAACTACAGCCAGGCATGGGGGAGGCTCTCTAAGGTGACATATCCCATTGGCTCCTGTCTCCCTCTACGTGCCTATGGAATAAAGCCATGAGCCAAGGTGGTTACCTTACTTACTACACACAACTTACTCTGTTCCAGGGGAAGCACTACTGAACACAGCATCCAACAAAAGGTCAGCTGCAATGCACTGAAGCTGAGGGTCTGCGTGTGCATGCAGGGAGACTGCTAGAGCCCTTTCTCTGCAAAGCGGTAGCAGTCACAGGGAGCAGAGGGAAAATGGAAAGATTATTCAGGAGGGACGGAACCCTGTGGCAAAGAAATTTTCTGGCATACTTTAACCAAAAAAGTTAAATAGTTAAAAAATACTTTGTATACCTTCAATTCCTCTGTGTGTTTTTATGCAGGGACAGAAGGGAAGTTGTGCGCAGGGGACAGCAGTGACACACAGGAGGAAGCTGGGCAGAACAAGGAAGGCTCTGAGCTTGAATTGGTAAACAACTCAAATACTAACACCAGCTGGGTACAACCTTCAAGGTACATTTGCCATGCTGTATGCATAGCAACAGAGGTATCCTGACAAATAGGCATACTGATTTTGTAGCTTTGGGCTTTTAAAATGTTAAAGGTTCAATGGGGTAGAAAAGGGCAGAAGGGAAAAGAAAAGGAAGGGCGACTACTGTAGGAAGAGGCAGAAAAGGCCATGAAGAAGGTAGAAGACACAGTGGTCTCCTCACACATGCTTGAAGTTCTCACAGATGCTGGCATACAGGTTGCCTGTGATATTCCTTACCAGTGCTATCAGCAACTACACATATCCAAACATATGACCATTAGCTTCACAACAAAGACACCGTGGGGAGCAGCACTGCAGAACCATACATGACCCTGTATCTTTAGCATCTCGACTGCCTGCACTCCTACATACAACATCTGTAAAGAAATAAAATGAGAAGTTTCAGTTACAAAAATGAGAGAGCTGTGAGTGCCAGAGCAACTTTAGTCTTCACTTCAATGTAAAACTCAGTTTCTAAGATGAGATCCTCAACTGTGGGGGTACCTCTGCAAGAAAATCCTCATCTTGCTCATTAGATGTAGTGGAGATAGCGTTACCTAATCTATTTGAGCTGCACCCACAATATAGACAATATATCACCTGTGTTGCCTTGATCCAGCTGCAATAAAACTGACATGCTAAAGCTGAGGCTCTCCCTGAAGCAAGCCTTTTTTGCCTGATCCCACCCCACATTATGATATATGAACAATGAGGAAGACACACAGCTCCAACGATTCAACACACCTCCCTTGACATTTTATTGCACCGGTTGCAGCAGGGGCAAGGGACAAGAGTTACTTTGCTGTGGAGATTATCAGCAGCAAGACATACCGTGGACGCAGGCTGCAGATAAGACAAACTCACAGTGCCATTAGCGCTGTAATTCCACTCACTGACAGCTGAAAGCGTTCCCAAGTTCAGCCCTCGGCCTCTTGGGCAGGAGCAGCACCTACCAACAGGATTCAAAGTGACAGCGGGTACTCATTACAGCCCCTCTCAAAGGGCACCCCAAGAGCTGAATGGATGTACACCTTACATCTGGCTCTGAGGCAGGAGCTGTACCAAACGTGAGGTCCTGGAAGGGTAAAAAATGCCATTTGGCAACATTAACTTGGCTGCTTGCTCTGGCACTGACCACTGCCCGTGTTAAAAAGCACCTTCACCAGAAGGGCCAACACCTCACTCCTCAACCTGGAATTAAAATGCTATTTTAAAGCTAGCGGAGGCATGCTTCAAAAATGCTCGTGACAGTTGTACTGTTAGACTGCTTACTAGCCAGCGGTTTGAACTTACTCTTATTATCAAATAAACGAGCAACTAGGAAATGACCCCAGGTTGGTGAATCACTAATATTCTGCTGAAGCTTCTGGTGGCCAGTTTGGGCGTTCCCTTTAGATAAAGCGTAGTTTCAACATACGTTCTGAGGGTACCAGCACGCCGTTACCTAAATTCCCACGTTTTTCAAAGGTGCCCGTTAAAACGAAGCTGAACTACAGAGGCCTTCGGGCGTAAAGGTGCCCGTTAAGCACCCCGTCCTGACGGGCCGCTCCCCGTTTATAAAAACCCTCTGGAGGAGGGCGTTCGGCCGCGGCGATGCCGCTCCATCTGCAGCCTGCGCAGGCCGGGGGAGCCCCGCCAGCCCCCCCCCCCCCCCCGGCGACGCTGAGACCCCTCGGCGCTGAGGCGACCCCCGGAGCCCAGCCGAACGGGGGCCGGCGGGGGCTCAGCCCGGGGGGGCCGCCTGCGTCCCCCTCCCGCCGCCAGTGAGCGGCTCACGGCTGTCACCGACCGCTCCCCCGACAGCGGGGCTGCCGGCCGCCGCCAGCGGGACGTGAGGAGAATTCAAGCGAGACCCCGCCCCGCCACAACCGGGTTTGGCAGAATTAAGGTAAACCGGGGTGTGCGTGTGAGAAAAGGGGGGGGGGGGGGGGGGAACCCTCTCAGGGCCGGCCCGGCGCTCCCCGCCGCCCACCGCTCCGCCGCCGCTCACCGCCTTTATCCTTGCCGTACATGTGCCCGGCCACCTGGTGCGACAGCGGCACGCAGCCGTTCAGCCCCCGCCGCCGGATCCCCGCCGCCACCGCCGCCGCGGGGCCCGGGGAAGCGCCGGGCGCCGCCTGGGCCGCGGCCTCCTCCTCCTCCTCCTCCTCCTCCGCCTCGCCGCGCCCGCCGCCCGCGCAGCGCCCGCAGCCGCGCTCCCTGCGCCCCGCCGCGGGCAGCGCTGGCCGCGGGGGCTCGGTGGCCATTTCCCGGGGGTGGCGGTGGGAGGCGAGGGGCGGCCGCGCCGCGACGGCGGCGGGCGGGCCTCAGCGGGTGCTGCGTGCCGGGGCGCGGGCGGCCAGAACCGGCGGCTCCATCACCCCGCGCCGCGCCGCTGAGGCAGCGCCTGGCCGCCGCGCCGTCCCGCCCCGCCCCGCCCCGGACGCGGCTCCGCCTCCGCCGCCCGGCACGGCCCGGCCCGGCCCGGCCCGCGGGGCGGCCGGGGTCGGCGCTGTCGCCGAGCGGCTCCGGGGGTAGGCCGCGCCCGGGCTCGGTGAGGCCCGGGCGGGCAGCGCCGGCGCTCCCGACGCCCCAGGGAGGCTGCGGGGCCTGGCGCAGCCGCCGAGCGCACGCCAAACCGGCCCCCGCCCCCCGTGGGCATCCCCCCACCAGCTCCCCCGGGGCCGGCGCCGCGCCCTCGGCCCTCCCAGGAGAGCGGCCGCCGAGCGCGGCGGGAGCCGCGTGTTGGCAGGCAGAGACTGTTCCCCGCCTCCCCTGGGCCTCGGCAACCAGAAATAGACCCCAAATCCTCTTCAGTTTTACATCGATTCACCGTCCTCCCGAAGTGGGTTTGGTTTTGCTCCAGCGGATCAGAGGGACTACAAGCGAGAGCAAACGGCAGCCTGTAAATAGTGGTTTGGCTGCTTCTGGAGGCAGGTGAACTCCCAGGAAGCAGCCCCAGACTCATTGAAGGCAGCAACGCAAAGAGCATTGTGCATGTTGGGGGAAGGTCTGTGCTCAGTAGCTCCACTGGAATTCTCCCAGCCACGTCCAGGATTGTCTTGGCCTCCTCTGGAGAAAGCTGAAGCTGCCCCAGACTCCTTCAAGGTCGCCACCCGAAGTGTTTTGTTCATGCTGGAGGCAGGTGCAAGCCCAGTAGCTCCCAGGGACTCCTCCCAGGCAGCTTCAGAATGTTTTGGCCTCCTCTGGTGACTGCTGAATTTCACAGGTAGCAGCCCCTGGCTCCTCAGAGGAATCCACCCAAGGAGTTTGGGCAGTGCTGGGGGATGGTCCATGCCCTGCAGCTTTCTGGGACTGCTCCCAGGCACCTTTGGAGCCTTTTGGCCTTGCCTGGATATAGCCGAAGTCTCAGGTAGCAACCTGAGTCCTCCTGCTTAGTTACTTGAAGAACTTTCATCATATATATTAAGATAAATTAACAGTTGGACTGGATCATCGTAAAGGTCTTTTCTAACCTGAATGATTCTATGATTCTGAGTGGGTAAGGACCTTTCAAGCAGCCTAAAACAGCCTTATCAAGCTCTGTAGGTGCTGGTCTTGCATTGGAGCTGGGTGCACCTGTCCTGACACTAGACACTAGAACTAAACTGGATAAGGGATTAATCTCTAATCTGAATTTAAACTCCCCATGGGTAGAGGAAGGTATGCACAAGCCCTGCATTCACTCACAGGACCCCAAAGCCTGCTGCCTGGCTAGGAGACTTTGTTAACATTTCTTTTGGCTAGAGCATGTATCAGGTCTATTTGTCAGCCTGTAATGCCTGCCTTTTCTTTTCGCTGTTTCTTTCCTTTATAAAATTAGCTGAGTCCTGTGAATATTAGATCTGTACTTTTGCCACAGTATCCACCAGTGTCGAGTCATATTTAGCATTAGTAAGACGCAGGAACGGGAAAACAAGGCCAGAGATAGGAAAATTAATTTTAGCGGATATATGACATTCCCCCCAGGTTTTATAACAATGGGCCGATGTATCTCAGGAGTCGGTGCTGACATGAGAGGAATGATGATGCGGTGAGCTCAGCTGTTACTTGCTGCCTCTTCCCCATCCCATAGTTGGGAGGTGTGTCGGGTGGTTGGGAGAACTGGGTGGCAGCTGCAGGGATTTACTGGGGAAACTGAAGTGTCAAAGGAACAGGAAAATCACAGGGAAATTAGAGTATTCAAGAGTGAGAGAAAGAAGCAGAGCATATACATCTATCAAAACTGAGTTTCATTAGTTCATTGTTCATGGAACAATTTGTTTCACTCTCTTAATTGGGTAAGATGGGGAAGACAGTGGTAACAACTCAGCAAGATCCTTTCTGAAGTAAAAAGGCTGGTTAGAAAACTTCGGTTTCTCCACCCTGAATATCCTCTTCTCATCAGTTGTTACTGTCCAGCCGTAAAAATGAGGAGTCAGATGGCTGTGAGTGTAAGCTCCTATCTTCAGTTCCCCAATGCTGAATTTTCCCAAGGGAGTACTGATACAAGAGATAAATGCCACAGATTGGTTAACCCTTGCACAAAAAAAATTACTGAGGAGTACAGTGAAAAAACAGCACAAGTGGTACGTGTCTGGCAGAGAGAAGGCTCCCAATCTCGGCAGCAGCAGCTGCTGCAAGGTTCGGATGCCAACCTGAGCCCTGCAGAAAGATCTTTCCCTACACAAAGATGTGAGACACTTTGGCTGCTCTGGGTCTAAATGCAGAGAGAAAAACAGACTTGCATGAGTGCCCATCTCACACTGTGATCTACCTGAACTTGAAATCTTAATGGAAAAAATAATGGAATTAAAAGGCAAAAAATTGGAATTTAAAGGCTATTCAAGTAGCTGGTCCTGAAAAATAGCTTCTAGATATCCTTAGAGATAACAGGAGTGGCCTGGAGGAGATGAAAAGAAATACGAAAGCATGAGTAATTGGAATAAGTAAACACTGACTATTTCCTTTTCCCTGATACTTACTTTAGTCTGAGTTATGCATATAGAAATCTAGTGACGCAAGGCTCAATCTTCCGCTCACTCATTCCACCCTCACGCTTCAGCACATGGAGTTCAGTAATCTTAACTGGGAACTTCTCCTAAAATAAAACAAGCGAAACCGAGAGAATAACAGAAATGACAAATAATTGATTTCTCCACAAAGTGTGATAATGTAAGAGTTTGTGCTGAAAGCCAAACCTACGAGCAAGATCCCAAGGAAACTTCTCATCTCCAGGCTGTTCAATTGCACTCAAAGAGAAAGCGAAAGAGGCTGCAAACAGCTCCTAAAGAGGGGGCAAGTGGTTGGGAACCCCCGCCTGACAAAATGCTATTTGGCAAAATTATGCTTATTTCTGGGTTACTCTTTCTCTCTGTTGCAGGAAATCAATCTTACCTCACTTGGTCTGATGAAAATGTAGAGATTAAAAATGCCTAGAAAACATTACGCACGCATTTATTTTGCACAAATTGCTTTGTGCTGCAAGAGGATGTTTCATCGGCAGATTGCAAACCTCCCCCAAACTGAGTGGGGATTGAAAAGGAATCACCTTCTGCTGAAATCAAGCCCTTTTTCAATCACAACAGCTAGTTAATATCTAACCTCAAGACGCATGGTAGTTTAGTACAGGAAATAAGATCATACTTCAGTGGAAATGGAGGGGGACATTAGATTAACAGATTAGTGGAGCTGGGAGTTGGCCAAAATATTGGTACTCCAGGGATATGCTGACAAGAAGCACCACTTGATTTTTGACTCTCTGTTTGGATGGTTCACAGCCACTTCTCCATCTCACCCCCAACGCCACTTCTCTGCCGGCGCCGTGTCTTCTGCATGAGGTCTGTGAGAGAGACGTGGGTCCTGCTGCCCGCAGAGCCACTTCCTGCAGCAGGCGGCTGCGCTTACGTAGCTTCTGCCAGATGAACAGATTGCAACAGAGCTGACCTGGACTGTACACATGGTCTTGACAAGAAATGTCGATCAGTGAAACCAGTAATTTGCTGGATGTCTGAGAGCATCTGCAGCTGTGCTTCTGTGGGCAGGAGGGCCTGTCCTGCTCATCCAGCAGACATTGTCGCAGCAGTGTGGAAGTTGTAGCTGTGTTGCAGTTTGTTCTTTCTTGCCATTTTACAGCAGAAGGGTTGCTGTACCGTGCCCTCTTCAAATAGCTCAGGGCTTTTAATCTTTCGATAAATCCACAGAAGTTCTGTGCTGTCTTTTTAGTTCTTGTTAAGTAAAGGAAAACCTAAACTACCCTTGTCTGTTGTAGCTGTAAAACTCAACGCTGCTGCTATCCTCCTTTCTTTCCTAGCTGCTGACTTGTCACTTAGGCATCTGGTCCCACAATGATTAATATTTTACTTGGCTCTGACTGATGCAAACTCTTTGACACTATTCTCCTCCCTGGTAACCAGGTACATCTGGGGTTTTCCAGGATGAAAACAAAAGGATGATGTCAAAAGCTAACCTACACCCTCCAGAGATAATACAGCACATTTCTAAAATGACTGTGAGGTTAATTCATGGCAATTGTGTCTTTTCTGGAGCACTTTTTCTACAAACAGAACCACAGCTATAAATGTTGGGAAGCCTTTTGTATTAGAAAGCTACAAGGACTATGAAGGTGAGAAGCACATTTCAGTAGTTTGTTCCTCACAGTCCTTGGACTTTTCATCATTAAACTAAGGAAAGAATTTGGAGGAAAGGTTCATTCCTGAACTGAGAGGAGGTCAAAGAGTAGGAATTAAATGGAAGAGCTTTCAAGGTGGAGAGGAGGCAGCAGTGGATGTTTGGTGGGACTGGTTTTATTCAACAGCTTCATTCACGACCTGAAGAAGGGAGTGTGCATGAAGTCTCCGTGTTTGTGGATGCTCCTAACCTCCTTAGGGCAGGCAGATGCTACACTGATGGCAAACAAGTCCTGCAGGACCTCACAGAACTGAACAAAAGGCACAGTGTTGGAACAGGAGCTTCAGTGTGGATAAATGTAAGGTGATGTGTGTAGATAAAAATAATCCAAACCAAAGTTCCTCAATGCTGATCCTGGAATGGGCTGTCACAGCCCAGGAAAGAGATCCTGAAGTCACTGTTGACAGTTGTGTGAGATCATCAGCCCAGTGTGCATCCGCAGTCAAAAAGAGCCAACAAAATGTTGGGCAACATCAGGAAGAGCACTGAGAAGACAAAAGGCATCATTTTGCTGCTATGTGTAGCCTCAGCGTGCCATGTATCGAGTCCATCTTCCATGCCTGCTCTCTCACAGACAATAGGAACATACCATTAATTAACTGGTGCAGAAGATGGAATTAAACCGTGATTTGTGGCGGGTCTAAATTGGTGGAACATGTTTGAGCTGCCTCCAGCCCTAGAAAACAGCAGAGGTGGGTGTGCTTTGACATTCTTGGGCAATAAGTTGTGCTTCTTTCTGAAACAGAAGCATTAGAGCAAAGTCTTCAGTACCATCTGCTGATCTCATGGCTTACAGGTAGCTAAAGATTATTCCCTTTGTCTTTCTAAACAAAGATCTTCCAAGTATCTCTATCAGGGGGTTGCTCAGGGTTTACAAATGCATGATGGCATTTTACCAGTCATATCCTAATGCTTTAGGATAACCCTGGTACTCGATTTAAGATGATTAACATGCCCAAGAGGTTTATTTAAAATGCCTCTTTGTCTTTCCCTAGAGGCTACTTACATTGCCTCCACCTGCAGTAGAATCAAACACCTAGTTATTGACTAAACCCACTGCCAACTGGCATTAAGAAAAGTCTCTTCTATTAAGCAGCATTCTACTCCTGGACTTTGTCTTCAAAGCAACAGAATTTCAACCCTTAAAAAGTAATTTAACCCATGCAGATGTTGGAGCAAAGAATAAGACTGAAAGAACAAGATCACACTGTTTGAAATGAGCAACAAATGCAGTAATTACTGAAACGAAAGCTTGTTCTGGCCATTGCTTTAGTACCCGAGTCTCGAGCAAGAGTCCCAGCAGTGAACACACAGTGCATCTTGACTGCGTCTTATCCATGTATGGTTATATTTGCCAGCTGCAGAACAGGAATTGAGAAAAGTTACACGGTCGGTGACCTTATCATTCATTTTGTTGTTTCTGTTGCCAGCTGACTTGACAGAACAGCACAAATTTTCCAGCTACTGAGCAGATCCTTGCAGTGCGCTGAATTTTGACTGCTTCACACATTAAAGATATATTTTCTGGCACACTCAAGAAGCTCCTCTTCTCTGCACAGGCTTCTCCTGGAGAGCAGAAGGCACTTTTTTTTTTTTTTAATAAATGTGCCATGCATTCAAAAACGCCCAAAGAAGACTGCAGTCCACATGTCAAAAAGGATGTAGAGCAGAGCAGATTAAGGGCAATGCAGTGTCAGATCAGAAGAGGGATGGCTCAGTGTTCAGTCAGGAAAAAAAAAATAATGAGAAACCATCCTTCTGTGCTTATGTGAAACATATGTAACTTTTATGTTTTGAAGAAAACTTAAGTTGCTTGAGAACCCAGATAAATTTCTTAACAGCCCAAACTGCACATGAGAAAGTTGGACTGAATTCTGCTTTGCTACAGTCACGTAAACTGTCATTTTACTGACTTTGGGGAGCATATGGGTAAATACTCCTTCTATTTATTCTAAGTGCACGTCTAAATAAACACTTTACAAAGGTGGGTGTGGAGTAACATTAGACTGCTAACAGGGGACCCATGGCATGAGTGTACATTGCTTTCTGTTCAGTACTGCAGGATTTCACAAACAGTTCAGGAAGAAGCAGCACAGTAGCAGATGTCTGCTTGAGACACATGACCTCCTGGGCTCTAAGGAGTAAGTATTTGGCTAATAGAACCAGAGTCCCAGAAGCAAACGAACAGCCACTTTGTACATCTTACTCTTCTCATTCTGTTGAGAGGTATAATGAAATGCAACACATCACTTTCTGTAATTTGATTCATCCCTTTTTGCTACCACCTAGCAATGTTACATGGTGTTAAACCTTCTTTTATAGCTTATGCTCTCCTCCCATCTGCCACTTTATTTTTTCTTTTTCCCCTTCTCGTTTCTCTCCATACATTTATGTTATTTAGTTTTTATTCAGCTCCTCTGTGCATTAGCCTCAGCATTAGGCAGCCTGGAAATGATCCTGCCCGAGAAACTCACTATGCACCGCAGGCAGTAGACCACTACAGTAGAAAATAAGCAGCAGAGAGCTTCAAGCACCAGCCCCTGGCATCTGTCCTCAACTAATGATGGGTCTAAGAAAATGATTGTTCTCCTGTAAGTGCAAACAAGTGCCTCATCAGTGCAGGAAAACCAGGGCAGAACAAGCCCAGGTGCAGAGAGCAATTGGGGAAATGTGTACCAGTGACCATGGAAAAGGTATTTGGTCATCTCAGCAGGGCCACATGAAATGTTCTGAAATAGAGATGCTGAGCACTGACAAATTTGGGCTGCTGGCAGGCATGTCGCAGCCTCCCCTCCCTGCCCAGGCACTACAGGGGGATCATGCTCGTTCCCCTCACCCAGCCAGGGCTCAGGGTGGGCTTTGTCAGCCTTGAAGCTTCAGGAGTTGAAACACAACCCCAAATTTAGCAAGAGACTTCCGTGCTCAGGGTGGCTGAAGAGAAGCCAGCTGACAAGGTTTCTTTGCAATGCCAATGTTTGGTTTCACACCTACGTTCTTATCCTTCCTACTATTATAAAGTGTTCTTCCGCTATTGGAGTGACTGCGATACAGCAGTGACCGACGTTTCCATGCCTTTATCTGGCTGTATTACACTTAAAGGAAAATCCCTGTCCCACTGCTGTGCACAATAAATTTTACAGACCTCAACAGCTCCAGAACAAGGTCTAAACTGCAACTATTTGGTGAAAGTTTTAGTAGGGCCTGCAGTCAGTCAGCTCTGGAGCTGGCTGTCAGGGAGCTGGCAATACAACTCCTAGCTTCAAAGTGTACAAGTCTCCGTGCATGAGAAAGCTGCTTTGTCCCAAACATGTTTCTGCAGTGCTTCTAGCTGCCTGGGCACAAACAGACAGCAATGGTGCTGAAAAAAAAAAAATACACATGAAGATATGCATGCATAAACAAAACCCCATAAGACCAGCACTGCCTGCATCAAGGAGTATCTGCTGCGCAGTGTTTGTTTCCTCCTACTGGACCAAGGCGTTATTGCAACACTGCCCTCCAACATTTGGAATTGGCCATTAGACTAACGGTGCTGGAATCAAACATGCAGAAAATACCTGCAACTTGCAGCCGTCTCCTCTTCAAGCATGCAGATTATAGAAGCACTCGACTATGTGACAGCCAGTTTTAATGAATGACACTCAATTACTGCAGAATCAATACTTTAATTTGTTCACCTTCCTAACAAACACGTTGAAAAATACCAATGTAGAACAGAAATACAGTTTTAGTCTGGGACAGGAATCCTTCACTGCTTTAATATGAAGGATTTGTACCACATTTCCGTGTAGGAATTTCAATGTGATGCGAAAACCACACATTTGCAGAAGAATTGCTTTATGGTTAAAACTTGTCAAAGATCTAGCCAATTCGCTTCATATTCTAGAGATTATTTGAGGAAAGCACTAAAGAACAGAGATTTCAGAAAACACTGGCGCACTCAGACCATCAGAACACGATAACCTACTATGGTACTAAGGAAAAAAAAAAGAACCAAGTGTTCTCTGTGATGCTCATCAAGCTGGCAAATTTGTATACTCAAATTCAGGTATTTCTTTTCACTATCACGTTCAAGCAGCTCACATACATCAGTAACAGGAACTTTTGGGTACATAAAATTGTATGTGCATCAAAGTAAAATTTAACCACTTTGTGTCAACATTTATACATGTGACACTTCTCCAAAACAAATTCACCAGGATGTAAATCAGCAAAGACTCAGGTCCTACATCTTTGCTTCCCAGGAACAAAAATCTTATTGTGGAGCCTGCTTCCCTAATGCCCAACCTCCAGGAAATGCTTTTATGACTCAGGAGACTCATCTGAAACTTCAGGACTTCATCTCTCAGAACATTAATGCAGTTTTCAGTGAACTTTTATTCCTTAAAGAGCAGCAAGGCTTTGCTCCCAACAGGAAAGGAAGTCTCCAAAGGAAAACCCAACCCAGACAGAGGTTTATGATTACAACAGCATTGGCGCGCAGCACTACTTACAGTGTAACTCTCCCTTGAAAGAAACAGCACACCCATGAGAGAACACAAACGTTGCAACCTCAAGATTAAGATGAGCTCAAACGTGTATTTGACAAAAATAGAAATATCCAGTGTCATGTTCTAGTAATACAGAACTAACTTTGTTTTGGATAAAAGCAATGTATTTGATAATTTAAAGTTAAAACAACTTCCCATATGCATCAGTACTCGGCCAAGTAAAAAATATCAAAGACCTTCTTCCTGCCTTGGTAAAGGTCTTGATAAAAAGATTGAACATATTTGACTGCAACTTCTTACAAGTAGAGATGTCTCCGTAGTTGCCCCTACTATAGCACTCCACCTGCAAACCCTATTCCTCTACCTCCGTGCCCTTTCTCTACTTTTTGTGCCTTCTGCCAAAGTGCAGAGCAGTCGGCTAAGATCTCAGCCTCTGACAGTCCCACACTGAGAATATGAAAAACATTTTCTTCAATCTTAACCAGTCATACCAACCACACCCTTCAAAACAAAACAAAAACACCTCTACTGCCCCAATCATCTGGAACAATCCTTAGGGGTCCAGGTTCAAATGTCAGCTTCTTGTAAAGGCCTTTCGTCTAGCTCTGAGGTAGTCTCTCTGTCCCAGGACACTGAGTGATCTATCTTACACAGGCTGTAATTATGCTAATGGACCAGGTCTAACACAAAACTGTCCTCTGCCACGCCACTCTTTGGGTTTTGCTTTGTAGCCATTTGCATGTTATTAAATCAAGTTATTTAATTTAAGGAAACCAACATGACAGCCATTAATACATCCATGTCAGACGAGGCAGACAAGTGCCATACGAAAGGCAGGTAAGAACTCTCCTTGTCTCATCCTTGATTTCCCCCTCGTTTTTAGCTGTCACCAGTCTTGCCTTGTCCATGTCAGTTCTTTTGGTAAAATTAGCTGAACCACATGAACAGTTAGCCCAGGAAGGCAGGAGTTATTTAAGACACATAGCGCCTAAGGCCACTTAGTTAGAAAGGTGTGCCTCCTCCCTCTGCAGTGGGAAGAGTCCTCTAGAACCAGCCAGAGCAATGATGAAGCAGACAGTAATGACAGGCGGGGTTTTAGTTTTTATTTTAGCTTCTGGAGTAAGTCAGCATAGGCTCCCCCACAGAAGTCTCCTGTGGTCAGGGGAAGTTAGCTTCACTGCTGAAGTCTGCAAGTGAAACTAAGGCTTTCCAGCAGCAAAGACAACCCTGCCACCCTCTGCCCATCACTGAGCACTTCGTATCATTCCATTTGTCTATTAAGAAAGCTCTCGCAGAGACCATCTTCCTAATCCTACTCTAAATACAGGTCTGTAGTTCTGGTAGTATGTTCTTGATACCATACGGTAGTAGGGTCAAGTTTCAACACTGCTGTAAAATTAAAGGTAAAGCTGCCCTTTAGCCCACCTCGTTATAAGCCTTTTATGTTGTCTCTTTGTAGCTAGCAATTTTGATTTTGTTCTTTTACAGATGCCACACAGAACAGTAATGTAATAAGCCAAACGTGACACCTGCAGAAAATGCAGCATAATCAGAGGTTAAGCAGCATTTTGGCACCGTGATTTCTTTCCTGCCACCGTCTTTTACACAGAAATCTATCCAGACCTGTGATTTCAGAACCTCTCCCAGATTTTAGGATCTACCTTTTGAACACACATTCTACTGAATAGCCTCAGAGTAGTACACATGTATTTGAAAATAATTTAATACCTACTTTCTGATGAAGTACATTCTGTGCGTCATTTGAGTTTCATACTCAATGAGAGGGTACTCACACTTTACAGGACAAAAAATTTAAACCATGACTATATAGTAAATTATGCATTGTAGTGATTAAAACAAGACAAGCACCAGAGAAAATACACATGCTGAAGCCTCATGTATATACTACACAGGAAAGTCTTCAGTGACATCACAAAGAATTTGTGGGTTTTCCCCCAATTACAAGTGAGCAGAGGATTTGTCAGACATTCATTTTGTAGCTTCTACTGTCCACTCTACACCTCCTTCCTCTTGATGATCAGAGGCCCAACGTTGTCACCAGTTTCCTCGTTGTGCTTTGTGTGAGAGCCATCACACAGCGGGAACTGAAAAAAAGAAAGAATAAACACATCTAAAGTACATCCAGAGCCAGAATTAAGAACCTAGCCTGAAAGTTCATTAGAGAGTCTTCTCATTAAATCCACTGTGACCACAGACCGTAACTTTTGTGCTGGCGTCTTGGGTCTCCCTGAATTTTGGCTGAACACTGGTTTTGTCCACGCAAGTGCAGACTGGATGAGAGGCTTGTTATAAAAAAGCAGCAACTCAACTCAACTCTATTTGGTGTTCCTGCCTCAGGCCAGTAGGAGGCAAATGCAGCCCGAGCTGACCTTCAGCTGTAACCTACATGGATTACCTTGCTCTCAACCTTGTCCCACACTGTTTTCCTGGGCAACAGCCAGAGTTGAGTGCAGTTATAGAAAGCAAGTGGGGTGAGGAAGAGAAACAGGAGGAGAGATCCTTAGCTGAATTTTTTTTCTGGTTTTCCATAGCACATGATGAGAAAAAGGACAGTTTCCCTAGCTCATCTCTTATTTAAGAGACCTGCCTGCAGACAGCTAGGGGCACAAGCTGCCGTTGCTTTAACCTGACACAGCCAGCTTATCACATTGGCACAAACATCCCTTGGAACGAGCTGGCTTCCACATTAGGATTTTGCCCTGCTAAGGTAAATAAACTGCACTTCCAACTGCATGGCTACTCATCGGGGGTTTTAAGGGTAGCACTGAGGGAGTAGTTTGAAGAAATGTTTCTTCCATAAAAAAACAAAACCAAAACTAACTAGAATGACCTGGTCAGAGCAAGACCCACAGGGACTCCTTTGGGCAGCTGTGACTGCCCAGGTCCCAAGACCAGTGACAACCACACTGCTCCTGGGCAGCTCTTTTCACATGCAGGAGGAAAAGGACATTCTATGAAGCAACAAGAGTGAGGTTAGATCCCGTCACTTCTCAAGGATGTTTTCAGGGCTATGCCTCCTCTGCAGAGGAAACTGGAGACGATTACAGAAATCACACATCAGTATTTTGCATTTGGTTACTTTTTGTTTGCTTAGAAGTAATGGGAATCCAAGTTGGGTATTACTCAGCTTTTGCCTTTGCAACAGCAACATTCCCTCACAGTACAGTCACAATCAAACAGTCTTCAAACACTCCACTGATCCCAGTGTTCATGCCTCAGTCATAGCCCTTGAAAAAATTTAAATTTTTTTTTGGGGGGGGAGGGAACAAAGGTGGAGGGGGATTTTGTTTTTCACAGTTACAAAAAGTGACAAAGCCCGTTCTATAAATGGCAGGTGGTGTTTTGGAATAAAGAAACCCTGAATTCGGAGAATACTCATGTGAGCTGATTAATGCAGGAACTTTATCATCAGATCAGTCATTTGTGACTCAATGAGTAGGTACTGACAGATACTTGGAAAAAATATTAGCAAACAAGAATGTATGTTCATAAGACACTGACCAGCTTCCAACCCAGATGTTCCTGGGCCAGATTTCCCATCCAACACAACAGTCCACTGGTCTTCACAGAAGCATCGACCCAGCTTCTATCAGACATTAACATCTCACGTGCCCCAAGTAGGCAAGCCCAAGGTGCAACTACAGCAACATCATCACTTCAAGTTTGCAAGTGACAATAATGGTGGGATTCATAGGCTTCAGATAGCCTCGAGAAATCTAACAGCTACCAACTCCACTCTGAATTCATCCTCTGGGTCAGCTGGTCTCAGAACCACTAGCTCCCAAAGCCTGGGACACTAGACCTGAGCTTCTCAAAAAACCCCACCACTTTTTCAGAGCACCCACGTGGTCACCTTGAAGACAAGATACCGAATAGACAGATCCTGGGCCTGACAACATGTTCATCCTCGATTAAGGCAAAGCAGGCTAGCAACAGCAGTCAAAGCTCAAACCCCAAGGGAAGTGCACTGTGATCTGGACAGCTCAGCTTATTTCCCTTGATGCTGAACAGGTTTAGATTCTCTACCACTCTTTCTGCAGCAGTATTCCTCGACCCACAGTCTGGGGACTAATACTTCTCTGGAAGACACAGAGGTTGCAGGTCATGGCAAAAGAAAGCAAATTACCCTCCCCCAGCTCACACACTTTAAACTGAAGAGTAAGAATACGAATGTTCTAACTTTAGACTAACTGCAGTTTGGTTTTAAGACAAAACTCTTGCTTCTACACTGGTAAATCTGAACACTGGGTTTTTCCACCCAACTTGACAAGCAGCGCTATGAGGTACCTCTCCAGAGAACAACAGTGAATAGGAAAGGACCATTTAAAGAACTACCTACCACCTACTCTATCACTTAACTGCATTCCAAGACAGACTCATTTGAAGATACCACATTTATTTGTTTGTTTTTAAACACATGCACTCCACATTGGCCAGCACAAACACACAGAAAAGACTCTGAAGTGTACTATTTCCAAAAAATGCCCAACTGAAAATAATCCTGCTCATTTTTGAAGAGTTACTCCAAAATTCCCTGATATAGTCCTACTGTTTTGTTATTCCCCATTCAGGAGGAACACCATGTGAAGCTGGCTGTAGCGCATGCACACCGCCAGCACACACCAAAGTATCCTATGGTTCCTAACGCTACTGGTTCTATTAACAGCCTCAAGCCTCAGATGAGGCTAAATCTGATGAGAAGTGCTCACACAGTCATACAAGAGGACATTTCTTCTAAGCTGTACATGGAATAGAGATCCCCATACACCACTTATTTAACAGAAACACAGCAGGTACTTACTGCTTATTTACTGTAATTCCCTGCATTGGAAGCGCACTCATTTTACCACTTTGACACCATATAAACATCATCTTACAAATTTTAACAGGATCTGAGATTGATGATCCAGAGATGACAAGCATGTGAGAATGATGAACAACGTCTCTATTTTATTCCTGCTAGGCAATATATGAACATGGAAAGCACACACACCATCTTAAAGATCACGCTACCCACCACACAAAGTGACCCAATCGGGGCAAGAGGAAGGCAGCAAAACTGGAAACTGCAGTCTTTGAAAGCAGAACGTGCCGATTAAAATAATTGCTACCAATCATCAGTAAAAGAAAACAAATGCCTTCAAAATTTTCCACTGACTTCCTCAATGCCTTTACAAGAGCTTTCAGATGAGAATTCTAAGAGTGGATTCATTACAAGGTAGCCCCATCTACCTCCTTTCACTGTGTGATTACAGAGCCCTAACTCCGTAGGACAGTGTGTTCCTAAACTGAGAACACCCCTTCAAAATATGTCAAAACATACTAAAGATTTTTATTTCATACAAAAAAAGATAGTATCAAACAATAGTTAGAATATTGGCAGGAGCTGCAACGTAACCCCTAAAGCCATACACTATTTTCCATTTCTATTGGCAGAAGCACTAAAGGAGGTGCCTACACTATTTCAACCTGAGGTAAACCCAAATTCAGATATTAAAACAAAGTGCAGATATTTAGAGCAGCCTTTCTTCTCCCCCTTCTTTTCTGAAGCAGTAGCCCTCGCGGCAGCTTCCAACGCTGGATTCTGACTGTCAGTCGAGACTATCAACAAAGATTTGGCAGCCACGTTGGTGTACACACACACGATACCTGCACATGCCATCAACACAGCATGTACACACTTCCCTGTTTAATAATCATAAGGTATGTAATTTAGTCTATGGAGCACATTGTGGCCATGGGGGAGCTGAAATTTTGTTTTTCAGTTCAGATTCCAGACAGAGCAGAGAAAACAAGACCATCTCCACAGGACTATTTCAGAATCAAGCCATGATGCTGTTTAATCCTCAGCAGTGTTTTAATGTTAAGCCAAATACAGCTACAAACATATAACTTCCTGAGTTGTTTTCACTGGTAAGGTAATGAAGTCAGATCTGACAACAGCAAGAACTGGAAGTTACAGCATCTGGAAAATTGCAGAGCATGGCCCGATTTGACCAGTATCTAAGGCTTGAGAAGTCCACTATTCATTCACTCATGGAGAGCAAACTAGATTTCAAGGCTGTTAGCCTCAGTTACCTGGCTCTGACAGCGTGTATTATTTCAGTCTACACACATTAGCACCGTGAATTCTAAGAAAGCTTTTAAATGTGTGCCAGTAGTAAACAGGCAGGACTACTCATCTAATCTGCTTTCTCTCATTACAGATCCCAGAACTACCACTGCAGATAAATTATATAGATCTCAGCTACATCAGATGTCACGCATCTCTACCTCAGATTTAAATCTGATTTTAGTGTTATTGAAAGTCTAGGTATCATACTTATCACTAATTTTAGGCAATTGAGGCAACCCTATTTCATATACAAGTAAGCTGGACCAGTGTCTAGGCCAGACTTTTAATTGCTCAAAAACAGAGCCTTGAAGTATGCCATCATGATTTCACTGGCTTTGCTTTAGGATTACCCATAAAACTATTCTGAGTTGCTAAGGCACAAATGCATTAAGTCCATCTGTCTAGATTCTTCAAAAGCTTTTAACCACAATGGCTTCTTTTTAGACTACCTCCATCACTACTGGAAGCAATTCACCGCTGTACTCGCGTGGCAAAAGGTAGCTGTCTACAGTACACAGCAGTACTACAACAATAATTCAAGACAGAACAGCAGTACCACTGTAACAGCATCTGCCCAAGTCAGGCTCTTCCCAAAACAATTCTACACTCACCCTGTCTACAAGATTTAATGATGGGCTCAGACATTGCAAGCGACAATTTGACACCAGCTCTAGTATTCCAAGAGACTTCTTAATAGATTTGTGTTATTAACACCATGAACTAGTAGCAAGGTACTTTCTAACTGACATAGTAAGCTTCCAACTTCCTCCCGTAAAAGGTGTTTAAGGTCCTCTCAGACTGTGGTTCCTGAGTTCTCCTTCACATGCCAACAGGCCAGTAATTTTGGATAAGCCTCAGTATTAGCACAGGCAGCACACAAAATGGTATCTGTCATTCATGACTGTTCCATACAGCAGCTCTCCTTTCAAGGCATCTGCTTCTTCAGAGCTACAGAAATATTTTGTTCACTATTAGCACTGATCTGCAGGCTTTACTCTGAGCGACAGCATAGATCTGCATAGTTTTATGGATTAAAATACTGCTACACCTCACTGCACAATAGTTTAGGTGAAAAGAAGTTAGTTTCCTCTAAATAAAGTGGTCTGAAAATAGTTTTGTTGAAAGATGCATACACGTGAACAACACTGGAGTATTTATTCTTCTTTTACCTTCTTAGATCGCCAGCAACGACAGTACACAGCCTTGTCTCCCAGATCTTCCATATCAAACGCATGGACTACCTTGGGGTTATCCTTCTGGATATGGGGATTCACCATTGCTTTGCAGCATTTGTCTTTAGAGAGAAATTTTCTGTAAGCTAGGTACCCAACAACAGCAGCTCCAGCAGCTAAGGAGACTGCAGCAATCCATTCAACTGGAATAAAAGAAGAGAAGAAAAAGAGACCATCAGGTTTTGACCACATCATTCTATAGAAACTGCTCATAGTAGTAAATTTCACCATGCTCATGGCAATACCTCTACTTTCCAACACACCTTTATGTTCTGTAGTAGTAAAGCAGTACTTCAGAAGAATATTTGCTTTTGGCACTCACCCAGTTAAGCTGCTCCTTTCTACTGACTGGAGCTCTGCTCTACCCCAGTCCCTTCTACACAAGGGTGAGGATTAACCTGTCAGCGTTTGGGGGTCATCTTAGCCTTTTATTTGGGAACCTTCTGTATCAACATCAGTAGTACAGTAGTTCCAAGTTCAGCACATTAAACCAGCTATAAGTATGCTACGCTATAAGTATACTCTGTAGCAGCAAAACCCCCTGTTGATTCAGCTGCAGGGAAGTCACTAAAGAACACTCAGCATCAACAACCCAAGCAGGACCCCCCCAGGGTATGGATACTAAGTAGCTGTTAATAGATTGCAATTTGTAACTAAAAAAGTTAACAGGTGTTTGGCAATGAGGAAATTATTTCATATACTACCACTTCAGAAGAGTAATAAAAGACGGCTTACATAAAATCCCTACTGTGGTGTACATGAAAAAACATGGATCCAAACCCATTATATTTAAGAATAAGAGCATGAGTTTATTTTAACTGGATTAGGTCCTGACTCTCTGAAGGACAACTTCCATTAAAAAAAAAAAAAAAAAAAAATCCTCTTTCCACCATCTCTCATCCTCACTTTTCCTCCCTCTAGTTATCTCGAAAATGTTTGCTGTCTCACTCAGTGTGATTTCCTTTTCTACAAGGTTTCCTACCTTTTTGTGGCTCTGTTGTTTTGTCTCTGTCTCACAAGAATATGCTGGACTTTGGCTTGCAAGTTCTCATTGCAGCAACAGCCCTGGCCATTTCTCTCAGAGCTGCAGGCAGATGCTGTTTCTTTGCTTTTTATCCACCATTTCTACTCACACATGTACTCCTAGCATGTACATACAGAGTTCAGCTGACTCTACAGACAAATCAAACAGGAATTCATCTTTGGAGCAAGAGACATTACTACATTAAAGGCTAAGAAGAAACAAAATCCTTTTGTTAATTCTTACTACTTTCCACGGCTGACTTGCTGTATTGACACTGTGAGCTTGCACTAAAATTATCAAGAAGGTTTTCTGCCCTGTCCTACAGCCTTTTTCTAAAATACATACCAAGCCCTTTCCTCAGCTAAAACACTGTGTTAACTCATAAACACCATACTGATCTAACAAGGCTCTGGATGTAGCGGTAGGTAGAATTAGAGAAATACTTGTATGTCTGCAGCCCTGCGAGATCAGGGAAGGCAGGCACTCCTTTAGAGTCTTACTAAGAGGAATAAAAGATGCAGAAATCCTTTAGAGCTCATTTTCTTAGTAAATGAAGTAGAAGAGACCAACATACACTAAAACCTCCCCTGCAAATGAGTGACAACCTCTCCCTGTAACAAAAGGTTGATAGTAAAATACAGAAAACTGTCTTTAACATCTAAGAATTTAGGGTACGTTTCCCTGCTCCGGAACTCCTTAAAACAATGAAAGCCCCAGAAAGTATATTGTGAATTCAGTGTTTTGTATCCATCCAGTCGTTTCTCACCTCTTTATCTCCCCATTAGAAACTAGCCAGAGTATTGCATTCATTTCAATAGGGTAAGGTAAAGAAGTGAGGAAGTGAAATTAAAGAGGATTCTAAGAAAACCTGCTTTAATTTAGCAACACAGCCCAAAGTAATCCAAAGAACAGCCACAACTTAAATCAGAGGCAGCAGGTTCTCCCAAGTAAAGCCACCACAGAGAGTCTGCAACACCCTTTCCCCTTCTCACTTGAGCATGTTTCCCCAAGCAGAGCAGGGCCGCGGCAGGGAGGAGGTACCCAGCCAGCTCAGGGACGAGCTGGGTCCCACAAATTTAAAGTGATTTCTCATGAAGCGTCGAGTGCAGCTACAACAGCGGCAGGCAAAACCAGAGATATTGCCCATACTGGGGATTTCAGCAAAGCAGCAGTTGCAAGGATTGCCCAAGCTGTGAGCCGACGCATTGCCAATGGATCAAGTCTTAACCAATGTTCCTAAATAAGTGATGAGGGGACAGTGACAGACCGTAACCATTCCCTTAAGGAAACTAGGGAGAAAGAGTGACTTTAACGAAGACCAAGGATGACTCTGATAACTGAACCACCCTTTAAGGTGCTGCACCTTAATGAAGCTGACCTATTACACCTATCCAAAAGTCCAGGTCAGCTTAACAAACCAGCAGAGGAAAAAATTCTGATAAAATTACTTCTACAACTTGAAGTGCAAGCAGGGAAGTCTGTAAATCCCATAGCTTTGCAGCACATTCAGAAGAGCTGTTCTGCACATCTGCAGCTAACCAGATCCCTCGGACGATCCAGCACAACCATGCACAGCACATCCAGCTCAATAAGCAGAGATCATTCATTTAAAGTAACTGTAATCCTGTATTTCAGTAACTCTCTACTACTTCTTCTGAGGGCCAGATTCATCTATTACACACAGGGACAGACTGTATACATACAAACACCTTAAGATATTTTTTTCTTATAATAGATCATAGTATAAGGGAAAGAAAATGTTTTTGCAGAAGCCTGATAAGGGAAGATCAATTCACACCCAGCCTGTGGCCAGAAGATAAGTGGTACTTTCGTTAACTGTGATGACCCAGTACTTGGAACTAGTTTTAGCTGGACGGAGATACCAAAAGGCTTGGGGAACCTGAACTTTTGAGCTTCTCATCTTAGTACACTTGTGTGATGAGCTCATGTGTATTAACTTCTCCGCCCTGGAGAGAGCCAAGGTTCATTTCCGTGAACATGCGATGTATGAACACATACATGAAGGAGCATGTCTGTAAGGTGGTTTGGGGAGTCTGTACACCCTGTAGTACTCAGCCAGTGAGGAATCAGGGGAGGGAACATGTGGTTAGGAGAAAGGGATATAAACCATGGCACGATGGCTGCTAGGTGTATCCACCTGGTGGGGTGCCCGGTCTTGCAAGAACGTAATAAGAAGTGCTTCACAACGCATCCTGTCTGAGCCACTGATCACTGGCCATTGAGCATTTCTCACAATAGTGTCTTTTCTGCTGTATTAGCTTTTTTCCAATCACTTCCCTGGAGCTGTATGAGGGTAGAAAGTTTTATCAACTAGTAATACATGAAATCCAAGTATTTAAAGCAGCCTATTCTTTACTTTTCAGCACTGCCTTAATAAAATTCATGTACATTTATAAAACCTATTTGAATTTAACAAATGGACTCTCTCATGCGGCTATCATCCTGCAAGGTTTCAGAGGCAGTAAGTTTTGTCGTCCACTGTTGTTTTGCTTCACAAACAGATTTGGAAGAGCCAGAATACCCATTACATCTTTCAAAAAAGTCAACCATAAAACTTCATCTGGATAGAAAACACTTTTCAGAAGTTTTTAAATGCTTTAAACTCTGTTTCAAGAGACATCTGGTGCCAATTCAACAGTTTGCTGCCAAACAAGGTCACGCATATATTACTTGAATAGCAGTCTGTTAAGAGTGACATTGATGTGAAATGTCAAGGGGTTTTATTTCCTTCTAAAATAAAAACACTGAGAGCAATTTTTGAGTGAACAAATCTCAATTCTGGTATAACACCAAAACACAAGTGTTAAAAATGACTACAGGACAACACACTACAGGCTTGTGGGTAGAAAAATTGTTTCAGTATTGTAAGCACTGAACAGTGGAAAAGGTTTGGTTAAAACTCCAGAAAAAATAACACATGAAGGAGAGAAGGAAGGAGAGATGTAAAGAAGGAAATAGAAGTCCAGAGAACGCAATCCCAGGAGAACAGGCAGTGCGCAGAACAAAAATAACAAAAAAAAAGATGAGAACAGTAACAAGACAAGAGTGGGAATTTATGTTCTTCTATACTCTTTGGACATATCCTAATGAACAAGAGATTTGGGTCACAGTGTTTCTCCTCTCTTCTCTCTCTAAACAGGATATTAGTCTGGATGTTTCCAGATCTAGGCTAAAGAAATACTTTTAATATCTAACAGAAAGTTCAGATAGATTTTATCTACAGGAAGAACATGCATTTACCATCTGCACTGACAAGCACATGAAGAAACTGAGATGGCCTTGGCTCTGCCAGGAATACACAATCCTCATTACTATCCATATCAATTTACTTTCCAGGAACCAGCAATAACATGGGGGATAGCTGCATCCCTATAAAGTTAGTCCAAGACAGTCCTAAGAGGCAATTTTCAAGTTACCTGTACTGCTTAAAAGATGTCCATGTTATCTGAAAGTCAGTGACAGAGTAATAACTCCAGACATGAAAATCTGTTTGGTTTTTTTTTTTTTTTTCTCTTCAAAAATCCTTTTGACTTTCAAGCACTGTTCTCCTCCTTTTGTTGCCAATGAAGAGGCTGTTATTGTCCAGGATTTGTTTATGACAATCCAGTAGTTCAACCGTCCACAATGAAAGGCCACCTTTCTGCAGGCCATGCTTGGAGAAACACATGACACTTTCGTACTGCAGAGTCATCCAGGATAACTGGCTGCATAGAAAGCCTAACAGTAGAAGCCAACCAGTCAAGCAGGTAAAAGTCACTTCTACTACTTCACAGCATACACAAGAAATGGGATTATGACCCACAGGCTTAACTTAACTGAAACCATAAGGTAAAGAGGCCACCTGAGGGAGAAAGATTGTTGTATCTGGCCTTTAAGCAGCTAAAGACAAGTCACTGTGATCAGATCTGTGGTCAGTGTGGAGTCACACCTGCAAACAACCCCCTTACAACAAAAAGAACTAGTTGCACTATTCAGTGCCTTCTAAAGGGTAACTTTTCAGCACATACACACCCCAATATACACAGAAGCAATTAACACTCCAATTACTGCCAGAAATTAAATCCCACAAAAACACAGGAAGTTTTTGATGTCTAGTTTTCTCTAGGGAAACAGGCATCAGTATGACTTCCAAGATTCATCAGCCTGAGACGCACACCAACTGAAGAAAGACCTGTGACCTGTCAGTCCTCAAGCACTGATGAGATTTAATCTTGACAGAAAACACATTGACTTTATGCTGCCACCTCCTCCTCAACAAAGCACCCTCCAGACTGTTTTCATGTGTGCTTCCCCTGCCTTCCTGGGACAAGGAGGATATTTTCAGTTTGATTAGGCGCACCTTCTTCTCTCTCCCCCACAAACTCAGTCTTCTTCTAAATTCCTAATGTGTAGGAAATGCTTTAATTCTTGCAAGTTTATAAATTATAATAAACCTCTTTTGGGAATGCAACCCAGCTGCAAGCTATTATCAATTCATCCTCTGGGCTTTGGTTTGATTATTTTAATAAGCACAGCCTTCTTTCACTATAACCCATTTTAGACCATAGGCATGCCTTTGCCAACATCCTCTGTACGAGCAGTGTACCCCCTCCCCCCCCCCCCAAAAAAAAAAAACCACCCCCCTCCAAAAAAACCCCTATTTGGACACAGGTCCCTGGCTTAAGGGCCATAAACCACCAAGCTTTACAACTGGAAAACACAGTAATGCAGGTAGGTGAAGCTATTTTTTCAAAGGAAATCAGATAATTCAGTTCTCCACTGTAACCTTCATCCATTCCAACCGCATCATGCTGCCAATAGCATTTAAAACACACAACACGTGTTCAGGTCAGCGGTACGGTTTAGATCAAACATCACACAACAGTTATCATTGTTATCGCTACTGTACGGTACCGGGTTTTGAGGATAAATTAAAACCCCTGAAATTTAAAGGTTTTGATTAAATTTACGCCCAGCGACCTCCCATAAATTACAGGCCCAAAGAAAGGCATAGCGCGACAGAGAAGCGGCAAGGGGAAAGGCAGAAATAAGCCCGCGGTGCCTGCAAGGGGCCGCCCCGACCCCAAATAAAGCCCGGCGAGCGGGCGGGGCCGGCTGCGAAGGCCGAAGCGCACACAGGGGCCGCGGCCCCTCGCCCTCTCCCGACCGGCTACCGGGGGCTGATTTCAGGTGACTTCCCCCAGCCAGGGCTACGCCGCCATTTTGTCCCCGGGGGTCCGGCGGGGCGTGAAACGCCGGGGGAAAGAGAGGCGGTGAGGGCGCGCCCCCCTCCCCCCCACGCTCGCTTTATTGCCCCCGCCATCTCGCAGCCGCCCGCCCACCCGCGAGCACCTGCCCCTACCCCGCGCGCCGGCGTTCGGCCCCGGCCCCATCTCTCCGCGCTCCGCCGCCGTACAGGGCCCGCGCGCCGCTGCCCTACCCTGCCCTGCCCCGCCCCGCGGCGCTGTGCGTCACCAACCGCCCCCCCCAGGGAAAGCGGCGCCGAGGCCCCGCCTCTTAAAGGCCCGCGCCCTCAGAGGGAAGGGGCAGCCCCGCGGGGAGTGGCGTTTCCCGGTCACGCCGCGCAATCTCCGGCGGGGGGGGGGGGCGGGACGGGGCGGGGCGGCGCACAAGCCCCCGAGAGAAATAAAGAAATAAACTATTGCGGTTGCACCGCCGGCCGCCAGGGGGCAGCAGCGCCGCCGCCGCTCTCTCCGCGACCCGCGCGTGCTGGCTCGGGGGGCTGCGCAGGCGCAAACGGCACAAAGGGCCCGGCGCGCGCCGCGCCGCGCCGCGCCCCGCCCCGCCCCGCCCGCCGCCGCCGCCGCAGCGCGCGCGGATGCCGTTGCCCGCCTGCAGCGCCCCTCCCCCCCCCCGGCCGCGCCGCCCGCCGCCGCCCGCCCCGCGCTCCCATGGCGCTCAAGCGGATACAGAAGGTGAGGGGAAAGGGGGCGGGGGGGAACGGCTCCTCCGCCCCGCCGCTGCCGGGGGGCGGGGGGGGGTCCGGGCTGGGCCGCGGCTCGGCGGGAGCCGTTCCGCTTCACCTTCCTGAAGCTCCCCTCTCGCCCTGGGCCGGTGCTACAGCAGCTATTGCTGTCCGTCGTAACACGCCTGAGGTTTCCCGGAGCGGAGGGGCTCTGGAGCGCTGGGTGAAAGGCGAAATTGTGCGAAGGGGTGGGTTATCTTTAGCGAAGATGTAAGTAAGGTCTCTGTCCTGGTTAGCTCAGCGCCTGAATTGTTTTCCACGTTACGAAGTGCTTGCTGTCAGCCCCGTACTTGGTACCTTTGAATACATCCCAATTGTAGAGGGTTTGGATAATACTTGTAAATGGTCAGGTTTCAGATGAGGAGTAAATTTCTAGATTCCTGCTGTTTGGCAGGAATAAACTGGTTGTTTTACAGGACAGGCACAAAAAAAAAAAAAAAAAAAAAAACCAAACAAAAAAACCCCCAAACATTATGAATGGTAAACAAGGAAGTTGAGTAAATGTTAATACATTGGCCATGTTTTAGAATATGTGGTCTTTTGTTGCTGCTGACAGGCCATGTTTTGTTGGTATTTGTGCTATCCTGGATCTGTGATTCTGCTGTAAGTTCTCATTCCCATTTGCTGTTGAAAAACATTGGTATTACAGAAATAGAATTCTGTAGTGACCCGGAAACGACCCTGCAATGAGCGCATCTGGGCTACCCTGCCCTAGATACAAAGTTATTTGGATGGATTTCTATCAGAAGTTAGTAGTCATGTTTCATGACACAAATCTTGTCACGTCTTTGTAGGTAGTGCAATTAAGGGAGATTTTTGTGAATGTTTCATTTGAACATTATATCAAGTATTTAAAAAAAGCTACAGTCATTCTCTTTAGCAATAACTCTCTTATGCTTTTATCTATAATGGGAATGCTTTACCTTTTCTTGCCTTTCTAGTTTCCCATCTTTATTTTTTTTTTTTTAACATCTCTTTACCCTTGTGTTTATAAGAAAAGGATTGTTCTGAGTACCTTCTCTTTCTTGTTCAGTTTTGTTCTGCTAAGGTGGACCAACAAAGTGGAAAATCTAGTACTCTATTATTTTTGAGATGGAGGGGCAATTTGTGGCCTTCCAAATGAGGTCTTGCTAGAATAGGATTGTTCTCCTTATTTTTCTTCTTATCATGTTCTCTTTGTAACTTTTCTGTCTGCTGTACAGACTTCCATACATATTGGCAATGCACAGTTTTCTTTAGCATGTTGTTTAAAAACTTTGTATTCAACTGATGTGAAAATATGGGTGGACTATGAAAGAGTATCTTTCATCCTGTAAGCCTTGCTAGATTCTGTTTCTACTCTTTGAAAATGAAGAAATGCTGACCAGGATGCTAACTTTTCAAGGTTCTATATGATTTCCTGATTATTCAATAACTGATCTGAAACATGAAGTACTATTCGTGAAGAACCTGCCAGAAGAGTTGAGGTTAGATTCAGAACTAGTTACCTTTTGCTTTGCTTCTAGTTGGTTGCAGAAGTGAGTAATACTGTTTTTCTTATTTACATTAACTACCCTCATCACTATCTGCTTCTTTTCCAGGATAAGAAAAAAATACTACTAGAGTGATTTGGCCAGCAGCCTGACTTGGGAGCAGTAGAAGAGGAAAGTGGCAAGGAGATAGGATTGTTTCACATGGAAAGTTAAAATGAAGGGGAGAAGCTGGAAAAGACAAACTGTCTGGGTGTCACTGCAATATGTAGAGCTTTCCTGAAAATTACAGAACTGGAATTTTAATGCTAGATGAAATGTATTAGTATGATGGTGTGTTTATCCCATCTAACTTCCTGACATTTCAGGCTGGCTATACAGGTTGATAGCAGTGTTGTATCTCAAGAGTAGGAAGGGATATGATCTGGAGTAGAGGAAATGCTGTAAGAACTTTATAGTTTAACAGTGCCTAGGAGAATTCTTTGGAGAACAAAGTGCTGTCAGAAAACACAGTGGTATTACTTGGGAGCTTGTCAGTCTAAACATACTGTTTGAAGTTAAGCTTGGGTGGTTTTAGGGTGGTTCAGAATTGTACTTGAACATGGCTAAGGGATTTTGGCGGCAAGCTTGAGTGTTTGTTCACAATAATTTTGATAATTTGTGTGTTCAGGATGATAGGACCTACAGAGGAAGCAAAGCTGTAATACGTAGAAATGTTAGTCAGTATGTTTTGTCTCATACCAGTTGAGACTCCAGTTTCTAAATAGTATTGCCATTGTGATCTGTGTCGTTGCATCTCATCTTTCGTTGCTCACCCAGGAGGGACTCCTCAAAGGAGGGCAACATGCAGACTTCAGGACTAGACACTAGTAATGGAAAGATATATTATACTTGGGAGCTTTCTTAAAAAAATGAGCAACTGAATAACCAATGACCAAGCTGGTGGCTGCACATGAAAGTCTGCTCAGCTTGGTGCTGTGATAAATAATAGAAGAATTTTGCTTTCGCCAAAAGTAATTAAACAATTACTTCTTAGGCTAAAGCTATTATTAGTACAATGATCCAAATTTTAAGAAAAGTAAAAGACTTTACTACTGGGAAAAGAAAAGGGGGGAATTGATCTGAGGAAACACCAACCCAACAGCCCCCCCTCCTTGGGATGCTCACCAAATGGTCCATATCAAAGGGTGGTAACTCCTTTGCAATGGGATGAGAAAGACCAGGACGGGCCAGCTCTGGTATCCCTTGTCCTTGAGATAAGAGAGGAACTGAAACCACTGAGCCAGAAAAGACAAAGGAGCTGCAAATTGGCCCAGACTTGAAGGACAAGGTGTACGGACCACAGGACTGAAGAAAGAAGAAGATAAGATTGCAGAAGAAGCCAGGAGGCGTGCGGAAGGTGTTGAAACCGGCAGCTGGGTGGATAAAAGGGGGTTTGAAACTTAAACAATTTGGTGAGCCTGGACGGAGCTGCGACTCCTCGGCCACCCCAGCGCTGCATTTGCTCTCTTACCTTAATAAAGATTCATTAATCCATATTTGGATGTGATTGGCCTTAATCTACCTATAACAGTGCTGCCCGGTGAGGATGTGAGGACCTGCTGTGCAAGCACAGCTGTCAGTGCCACCTCCATGGCAAATGCATCCTGGAGTTGCTCAGAGAATCTCAGGAGGATGCGGGTTTCTTATTCATCTTAAACTGAGGAGCCTGTGTTAGTTTACCTTGTCAGTGCTTTGCTTTGTCATTGCATGAGAGAGGCACTATGTTTCTAGGGTCGAAAACGTTAGGCTGAGCACTGTGTGTGATGTAGATGTTCCTGGGGGTGGGAGTCACTTCTCTGTAGTCTGTGACACCAGTGAAAGAATAACGCATGTTTTTGTGGGCATTGTAAACTTCAGATGTTGCAAATTACAACCCCCCCCAAAATAGGGTAGGTTTTAGTTGGGAAGGGATGTTGTGCAAAGAAGCCTTTATTGTTACTGTGTCTGGAAACTGAGACACCGTGGCTTTTATGCAAGGTAGAAAATAATTCAGGCTGTCAGATTGTGCGAGTGTGTGTGTAGGTTGCTTCTGCCCTTCTGTCCTATGCAGAACCAATGCTCTGACATTCCTGTTATGAATTTTTGGTTTACATATCTAATTGTGAGTTTGCTGTCCTGTCAGTCCAGTATTTTACAGTTGAGATTGTTTTCATCATAGATCTTGTACTTCTCCTTGCTCTGTTAGTGTTAATGGGGTGTTGATGTGCTTGTTGATGGCTCAGGCTGTTTTGAAATACAAACAAAACCGGTGATTACTTTTGTTAGAGGCATAAAAAAAATCGGGCTTTGGAGAGATTTTGAAACCAATTAGAAGAGACATGTTTGAAGCCTGGTTTAAAAATAGCAGTTGTTTTTTATCTTGTTGGTGCATAGTGCTTGATTGTTTTTCTCCTACAACTCAGTAAGAATAGAAGCTTTCAAACATCTAGATGTGTCAATGAAATATGTGTCTGTTTGTTTCAGTATGTTTCATGTATGTTGTAGACTAAAAGGACATATGGACTTGAATATTTATGTTGAAAATAACTTTATTTACTTGAGTCACTTTACAGTAACAAAAATTCTATCAATATTTGTGATTTAGATTTTGATTTTAATCTGTTGAGTCACGTGCTATCTTTAGATGGTAATAAACATACCGAGGAAACTTATTTTTTGGATCGGTAATATAAAATGTTTTAATTAGCTTTGAAAACATCAGCTCTGATATCACAGTAATATTTTTTTTTGCATTAAAACAACTTATAAAAATAGAATATATGCTTTATTACTAAGACTTACCTTTATACTGGAAAACATTATGATAAATATTTGCTTTACATTTACCAAATTTATGAAGAGCGGAGAATCCTTTAACTAATCTCAGTATAATCACTGGGGTTTTTTGACAGATGGTTCCAAACAGCATTAATGTAATAGCAGTAGTGTATGTATGGAGTTGGGAGGAATTGAGTCTATGGTCTACAGTGCATTTTTTTTTGCGAGAAATGAAGAGCATAGATGGCAAATATAAAGCCCGACATTTTAAATAACTGTGTGGAAAAGGGCTCTGGCTGTGGTTTTGTGTCACTCAAAGAATTAGAATAGCTTTTAGTGATGCTGTCTGCGGTTTATTTTGTTCTCCTGATAGTCTGTCATCTTTTTTTCTGATTTTATTTGTTTCTTTTAATTGAAAAAAATGAGATATTTTAAGGCATTTTTTGTTACTACTCATGCACATAGCCATTGATTGTTGAGTACTATGCTGAGAATATTTATCTCCTTGTTATGAAAGTATCGTTTACACGTTAAAGCATATGTGTTAAACTGACCTTCCAGTCTTCACCAACTTTAGACTTTCATGAAGTACATCCTGTGTTATACTTTGACAAGGAGTACTATTCTGCACATTCAGAAATATTTCCAGCATTTATAGCTTGCCATAGCATGCGTTTTACATGTATTAAACTTGATTTTTAAACTTTTGCCTCATGTTGCCCCCAGAGCTATTCTGCAATGTGTGGTGCAACAAAAGGTCATAATTTGGAGGCTTTGCTGTGTCCACCTCCAGGGATTGTCATTTAGCATTTGGAGCATTATGCTAATACTCCTTTGCTTTTGTGCTCTGCTGCTGTTCTGTAGTTACGAACAGGAGAAATAGTTTGCTGTAGCACCAATTCATTGCAACTCGCTAGAGGCATAGAGTTAACAGTGTTCTGCTCTACTCTGTAATATTTTCTGTTTGAGAGGATTAGAAGATTTATTCCTACCACTGTCCTCAGCTTAGCTGTTTTCTCTGTACAAATTTATCCTGGCTGTACTGGGATAGTGTGGCATGTGCTAGAGCTCTTGATAGGTGCTTTCATGCTGTCACATTCACCAGTGTTTGAAATAACTGATACTTCTGTACATGTCTCCTGCAGACAAAATTTTGGTTTCATATATTCTTATAAAAGATGTTGCACCAGTGTACACTGTCATTTGCAGTGTTGACTTTCTTTTGTAACTGCATCTGCACTGCTTTGAGTTATCCTGTTTCTTAACCTATGTACACCAAAGTCCTGCACCAGCATTTTATATACCAGCGGCTAAAAATATTGGTATAGACAAGGCCTGAAGTAACCACACCTGCATCATGCAGCTACATGGTGATAATCCATAAAACATGGGCAAAGCTGCTGGAACCAATTAATTTAAAATTACAGGGAAGTCTTTCATGTTGACTGTGTAATGTCTTACATGTGTTTTTCTTGCACTTTTTGACGAGGTTTCAGCACATTGTGCTTTGTAACTCTTCAGCCTTGTCAGAGCAAGGGTTTGGGCTTCTTGTGAAGAGCATCTTTGCTGCTTTACATAGAGAATTCCTATTCAACTTCTCATTCTTCTGTGAATAAGTAAAGTCATGAAGCAGGGTTTTGTTTTGGATTGGGTTTTGGTTGGTTGGGGGTTTTTGTTTTTATTTTTTTTTTTTTTTTTTTTACTGCTACTTTAGAAAGTAAATTGCAACTGCTGTGCTGTGTTTGGGTCTGGACACTGGCAAGTCAGTCTGACTCAGGGGCATTCTGTCTATCTCCTTGCACCATTGCAAAATATGTAGGAAAGCTCAAAGCCTAAATCCTACAGCTCTCCACGTAATTTTGCTTTGAATGTGAAGCTGAAACAGCATCATTAACAATATAAAGCCACATAGTTCTTTGTTTTTGTCACAGCTTGATCTGAGCTTCTGTGTCTTCAAACTGTTAACTGTCAATTTCAATTTACAAAGTTTGATCATTTTACCATTTGTATTGTTAAACCACATTAGCTTCAGTACCCTGCTTCTTATGACTGGAAAATACAGCTTGAATGTGCTATATTACGATTTTGAAGTTTGATCTGGCTTTGTTTCCTCGCTGCAGAAGCTCTCTCAATGTATCTGTGAACATTGCTCTCATTTAGTGAAGTTGGTTGGAGAGAGCCTCTTATTCTCCATTATTAGGGAAATATTAATAATGGGAGTTGATAGTTCTGGGTCTCATCAAGCTATGAGTAAAAACTTGGGTTTTTATTATGGACAAATTTAAGCTTCTTTAGGCTGAGCAAATTAAAAGTGTATACCTGAGGAGCCTTCCCTGGAGCCTGCCAGTTCTGAAGTACATGTGTACATATGAAAGAAAACCAATTTGCCAATTCTGATGTACATGTGTAAGTATGAAAGAAAACCAATTTGTGTGGTTTTGGGATATGTAGAGATCATGAGGAAAGCATCTAGCAAATGAGTATGCTCCTATAGACTTGTGACTCCAAAATTGTGTTCTTGCCTAGCAGTTCACAATATGCATAAGGCAATTTTTTGCATATGTTTTAGACTTTCTGAAGAGTTTAAGCTCCATATTTTTCCCCTTGTTTCCTTTAACTTAGTAGTCAGCAATGACTGCTATACAATGCCTGATTTTTAGGCTTTGACTTCCCTGTTTTGGCTAAGCCTAATGTAGCTGGCTTTTTTCTTTTTTTTTTTTTTTTTTTTTTGTTTGTTTGTTTTTTAATGTATGTACAAGACAATCTTCTGTTGGGTTATATCTTGAGTTGCAAATTAAGAGTAGACAGTAGCTGTAGCAGCTCTGCTGCTGATAATACTCGTTACAACTCTTGTGACTCCTGGAAACTTGAGACTTGTTGACTCCCTTCGTTTACTGGCAATGGCTTAGCTTTGCATAGATTATTGGTTCTCTGTATCACCCTCTGAGTGAAATCGGAAACCTCTGATTAAAAAGGGAGCTGCAGTTTTACAGGGTTTTGCTATTGCCTTTATTAGTCAAAGTTTAGCCTGGAATGTTGTTTATGGACCAGCATACAATTTCACCAACAGAATAAAATTAAGGGCAGACAACTAACACTAGTCTGCAACCTGAGCTATTTCAGTCTATGAAAGAGCTCTCTCTTGTTTTAAATCACAAGGATTGTGAGGCATGAATTCAGGGCAAGTAGTAACTACTACTCTATTAAGTGGCTGAGGATTTGTTGCAGTGCCTTTCTTTGAATTCAGGGCCAAGAGTGGACTTGTAAGAAGTGTGCCTGAATTTAGATGCCAGGTCCATGGTAAATTGGATCCCTTGAAGAGAGCAGTGTGTGAGTAGAAATGTTTACTGAGTATCATAAATGGATAAATACATCACAGCAGTTGAGAAGTGCCAAGTTTTAACCCTTCAAATTGTACGTAAAGTCTGATCACACTACATACAAAAACTCTACACTCGAGTTAAACTTATTTCCAATTTAAACCTTGCTTTTGGAAGTAGATGTTTTGACTAATGATTTTTGAGTAAAAACGTTTCCACTTAGCTTAGCTTAAGGAGTATAGTTGCAGACCTGCTTATGTCTGTTGCTGACAGGAATGTGTGTGTTGTGACTAATTACTTGAGTGACTTAGGAACAGTGGTTTAGCACATACTTTTTAGCTTATTTCAATGGAGTGATTTACACATAACCATTAAACCTAGTACAGCACAGTTCCTAGCAGCTTAGAATTGGAGAAAGTTGTTTGTTATGAGTATAGTAAAATTTCAGACATCAGAAGTAGTATATTGAATTAAACAAGGGAAATGAACCACTATTAATGCCAGTCTTGTTTTGCATTTGATATAGTGATGATATATCAGATGAAAAGCTGAGCTGGTTTTGTGTCATTAAATAATAATTTTAAATTATTTGGGACTGTTTGGACTTCTGTAAGAAAAACAAGTCAGTTGACCTACAAAAGCTTCTCTGAATGCTTCTCTTAAATTTCAGCTTCCTTAGGAGTGTTTTAGTGGTCATTTTGAAAAAAGCATGCAGGGAATTAAATCAAGGTAAGTTAAATAAGGTGTAGAGCTAACATTTTTCCTTTATTTTCTAGTTTTAGGAACCTTTTTGTTATATTCTTATATCATCTTTGGGCAGACTGCTGCAAGCATTTTATGAGCTAGTTTAACCCAGCTAATGTACATACATTAGGCCAATACAAGAAACTTCTGTAAAGTTGAAGGAACAAATTAGCACATAAATTTCTAAATTAAGCAGTGAGTTTACAGACCAATCAAGAAACCCTTCATTTTCTTTATCTGTTTTTCTGTGTCTACTTTGGTATATCCAGCTTATTATGGATTTAGCTATAACTGTTAAAACTTTCAGATATTAATTTATAGCACAGTGTTGTCTTTAGCTACAGACCTATCTGGTAAAAAACCCCTTTCAGTATCAATGGGCATTTTGAGTGTTGATTTCTTAAAAAATACCACAGCTCTATTTAAAATCTGTTTGTACTATCACTTTTGTAGTGGTGTGTGTTTTCACATAAAAGTCTTCCAAATATATGTGTGTTTTTTACAGGAACTAAGTGATCTGCAGAGAGATCCACCGGCCCACTGTTCTGCTGGACCTGTTGGAGATGACTGTGAGTTTTTCATAGTATGTTGTCACAGATGACCTTTCTTTGGTTACAAAAATCTCAGAAAATCTCTAATTATTATATCTTTTTGACTTTCAGTGTTTCATTGGCAAGCAACAATTATGGGACCTGTAAGTATATAATTCACGCCCCTTAGAAAGTAGACCTTGTTTCCTTTTTTGTTATAGAAGGATTCATTTGACTGTCTGTAAACATGGCAGTCAAATTCAGCTGTGCTGTGTATAGATTAAAGTTTTAGGATGGTATTGTTGTTCTTAGTGGTCTGGTATTAGTTTTTTTTTCAGCTACTGTTCGAAAATCCATCCTCTTCATGTAGTTAGGGGTTCTTAATTAGTAAACTGCAGTGTTTGACTGGGTGACAAGCTTGCTTTTCAAAAACGATCATTTCAATTAAGGAAGATTCATCCATCTGAAAGGAGGAAGAGTGGGGGTAACCCAGTATTAAAGTTTGTAACTGTAAACAAGAGTGGAGTTGCACGGGATGATTTTGGGGCTTTTAGATAGAGTTTATTTGATGGCTGTGATGTGGCTCTGGCAAAACCAGATGGCTTTTGCAAACTGTAGACCAGCAGCTGTGGGTAATTCTGGTTTCTGCGTGAGAAAGGCCTGCTTTCCTTGGGTTAAGGGAGGCCTCTAAGAGAGCCATTTCTGACTACTGTCAAGGAAATTACATAAGAAAGTACAATAAATCTTAAGAACAGAAAGTTTTAAAGGAAAACTGAAAAAGGTTTTAGCAAAAAGAATAAAGAGCAGCATGACCTGAGGGAAGGGGTGTTTATTAATATCATGGTAAGGAGTTGCTATTCCTAGTGTGTTTCTTTTGGATTTATTAATCTGGAAAGAAAAGTCTCTGGTTCATATGGTGAGCTGAATCACTGTATGAGTTGAAATTTTGGGACAAAACTTAATCCATTAAGATGCAGCATGACACGGCGGAGGAGAGTGGAACTGTGTTAGCTTTGAGACTATTTCTGCATTTTCAGGACAGCTGCTCTCAAGCAGTGAAAGATCAGTTACTAATTTGCCAGTGGTATGCTGGAGTCTGTCCAACTTGTCAATAGCCCAGCAGCAACTGAAGTGATTGTGGCAAGTTTTTCTGCAGGATACTAATGCTTTTGCCATTTTTCTTTCTTTGACTGTGTTCTTTCACAAGCATGTCATTCTGATCCTTGCCTTTCTGCGCTGCCTAAAGGTGAATCGCAAAACAGCAAAGAAGAGTTAACAAAAGCTTATGTGTTGATTGCCATCAATAACTCTCTGTTCTGAATGATTCTGATGACCTGAGCAAGGCCAATACTAGCACATAAATCCTGACTTTCATTTTTTTCTTCCAGCTTGCGATTCATCTTTAATATTCTGTAGTGGAAAATACTCTTTCCTTTGCTTCAGGTTCCTCAGATATCTCTAGTTAGGATAAGAATGAGTATCTCTTGTCAACCTTTCTCAGCTGTACCTGCTGAGATACAAGAAAAACAACACCATCAGGATATTAATCCTTTATCTTGGTAACATAAGGAAATAGGCATGCAGATCCTATATGCTTCCTGAGGGAAGCATAAGACTAAAGCTTTCCTTCAGAATTCACTTCCTATGTGTGGAAGTAGGGTAACCTCTTCTCCTGTCTATGGGCATCATTGATTTGTTTTATGAACCTTACTCACAAAACATAGGGTGACTTCACTGTGCCTTCTCTCTGACGCTGAACTTGGCTGATTTTCAGCTTATTTCAACTTTGATAAATCCATTTAGTGTGCATGCAATCAGTCCTTTCAAACGTAATTAAAGTACAGTGACAATCTCTTCTGATGTTACCTAATGCTTACTTCTTAGCAATACTATATATAACCTACCTTACATTGCAACTCTGTCTGCATTTTGAATGTGTAAGATGACATGTCTTAGTGAACCATTTATGACTTGACCTCTTATATTAATCTCTAAAACTGTAATTGTTGCTCATTTCCAAGGTAGTCGTTTTATTTAAAAAACAGTCTGCCTTTGCTTCCATGAGAAAACCCAAAAGCTTGCATGTTCTGCAGCTTTGCTGAGATTGAGTTCCTATGTTGCTGATTTAAATTTACTAAGTAATGAGAGAGCTTTTTTCTCCTTCCCTTAATCAGAAACAACAGCACTGCTCTATCATTCAGCATTGAGGCTTTTCCCATCACTTTTCTAAATAATAAAATGAAAGATTTCCTCAACGAATGACTGCAACAAAGTTATTTCTATTTATTAACTGTGTGCAACCTGGACGTAAACCTGTGCACATGTTCTCTAACAAAATGCATGTTCACAGATTTGTACAGGTCACAAAGATGTTGTGTGTTTTAAAACTCCCTGATGTCACCATGATCAACTGAATTATGTTGGAAAATCCTACTCTTTGCATCTGCAAAGAGAAACCACTTCTTAAGGTAAGTATATTTGTAGCTTAAGGATGGAGGAAGATCAGAGGAGCTGTGGTGTTACACAGAGACAGGATTTGGAAGATCTGGTCTGGGTTTTGTATTCCCCTTGGTGCAGTGGAGCTGGATGGATCAGCAGTTTTGTAGCTCCACCAGTCCAACACTGCTCCCTCCTTTTCTGTCCCCAAGAAGGGCAGCACTCAGTAACCGTGTTGTGCTACTGCAGTAGTAGCCATGGTTGGCTCTACTGTAGCTCTGCAGGCCAGTGGCAGGGTTCAGTTCTCTCCGCGCCTTCCCAGTACACAGTCCATAGTGGGCTGTGGCCTGTAGTGTGGGCTGTGTACTGGGGATAAAGTGGATGTTCTAAGATATAGCTTTGGGATGTTATCGACGTTCAGAAAGGAAGCTCCAAAATAACTGATGTATGTTAATGTGTTTTGTCTGTTCTGCTTTTTTCCCCAGCCTGATAGTGCATATCAAGGGGGAGTATTTTTTCTCACAGTACACTTCCCAACAGACTATCCTTTTAAACCACCAAAGGTAAGTCCTTTCTCTCAAAACTTGGGCAATTTTTTTGGTCAAAGCTTTGTTTTTGTGTCTTAGTTCTCTGTGGTTTAATTTTGGAAGTTAAAACTGGAAGGGCCAGCAATAGGTTACGTGTTTATAGTGGATGAACAGATAAGACTGTACAATAAATTGTCTTGACAGATCTAGTATGACTGGAACTGAAGGGACAATGTTAAAGATTCCAAATGTAATATGCATAATTTGATGTTATGTTTTTTTCTTATTCCAGATTGCTTTTACAACAAAAATATACCACCCAAACATAAACAGTAATGGGAGTATTTGTCTTGATATCCTGAGATCACAATGGTCACCAGCTCTGACTGTATCTAAAGGTAAATGCAAAGCTTTGATAATACATTTGTAAAATTTCATACACTGCTATGGCACTTTTTTGTGTATTACTGTACCAAGGGTGGCAGTGGGAGCTCATTTATCCTGCACATTACAAAAGTGGCAAATTCCATTGGAATTCTTGTTAGCAACGAAGATCTTGCACTGCTCATTTGGAGTGTCACATTACATAAAATATTATGTGCATGGCAAAGAAATGTTCTGAAACAAGTTGGGTAAGATGAAAAAAACATCCGATTAGCCTGAAATGCAACTTCTGTATTATAGCAGACTGTGCAGGCAGAACCAAGGAGAAACCAGTTAGCAGAGCTTCAAAATCAAAATAATTTGGATGTAAATGGAAAAGCCTGATACAGATGTGTGTGGGCTCACGTGACTGCTTATTGATAGCTCTTTGGGTTGCCTGAGTATCATTGTGTGGGCTAATGTCTTAATTACACTTTATGTTAAAATGAGATGAATTGTTCTGGTTTGCGTTCCTCTGTGAGATGAATGTTAAAATGTAGCGGCTTTCAAAGTCATCAGTAAAATATTTATTAAAATATTCTAGTCCTGTAGTTAAACTTTCTCAAGTTAAACACTGTAGATCTTTAGAGCAATGAGGTTACAATTAAGCAGTTCTTTTGTTGTAGGCATTTTGTGGCACTTCAAAAGCTGCTTAAAATGTGGGTGCTATCATGTTTTTTTCTCACCCATCTTCAAAATGCGTAGGCATACTCTTAGTCATATTACAGAAAGTTCTCACGTGACTCAAAAGGTTAAATAGTATCACATCTTGCTTATGGGCTTGAGAACTTTCTAAAGCATGTGTCTCTTTAGAACAGTGTCACTGTATTCGCTGTACAGGCAAGGAAAAAATTGTTAGTCTTTGTCCAGTGGAAATGGCTCTATGCAAGTGCAATTGCTGTGCCTTCTTGGAAAAGCAACTTCTGCCCATGCACAACAACCCTGTGCAGTAATCTCACAAGCTACATAAAATCAAAGTTGAATACTGTTTCCTGCAGTAGTTGCCGAAGACACAAATTACTTTTATGTGTAGTTGGTATCCTACAGAAATTGGTTGTTTTATTGCTGAGCAAAAATTGTCTTGCTTCAAGTTATTTGGAAGGTGTTCAGCAAATGGAAGTTGACACTTATATATCATGTTTAACAGGTGGCATTTACAACAGAAAACTCTTCAGTACTTTTCTGTGTCTTGTTGAGCATTCCTTCAGTTATAAAGTGGAACAGTGTGCTGGTCTTATGTGTTCTGATTTGGTATGCTTTTAACATGCCTGCACATTATATACCTCATAAACTGGAAGTTAGCTCAGTGGCTTATGAAAGTCTCTCCTTTATAATTCTTGTTTTACTGAATCAAAGGATTACAACATACTGGTAGCACCTCTGTGACCAAGTATTCTAAACTGATTTCCTAGTATTACTGGTGTACTTGGCACTTAATAAAATCAAGTATGTCAGTATGAAGTGGTCAAACTTGATACAACTGAAAATAGGTGTTGGTCCAGGCTCTTTGATAACAAAACAAAGTAAGGAAAAAAAAATACTATTCTACAGCAGATTCTTCTTGTAGCATCAAATTCCTGTGCATGACATATTTAGAATTGTTTAACTGTGTACTCCTGTATATTCGTATTAGTTCTGAGTATAAAAATAGATATTCCCTGAAAAGTGTGGACTGAAAACATTAGAAAAATCAAATGTCCTTAGTTCAATACCAGAAAATGAATATGGAATAAGTGAATACCTGCATATAATCCTGTTGAAGTATTTTCCCAAAAAGGAAGTCACACTTATATCAAATTAAGTGAACTCTTTATATGAAGGAGAGACTAACTGTCAGGACTGGAGAAGGGTATGCTCAAATAGAGCATTGCATGGCAGTGCCATATTAACAATATTATCTTAAATAATTGTAGATGGAAAGGCTTAGTTTGATCAAATATTTATATGTAACTATGTAGTCTGTAGTTTGTCTAATGTTCATAGGTTAAAACTCAGGAGAGAGATTGTTACAAAAGGTACAGGTCCATGGGCTGCAAGTTTTCTAGGATCAGCTGTTTACTTAGGACCTAGAGAAATGAGGCTGTATAAACATTTGTGAGCAGCACTGCTACATGAAAGTTTAATATTAATATGCATTCTCCTTACAATCTCCCTTCCACTGTCCTCCTTCAGTGTACTGGAATATATTACAGGATTATAGAAATAAAGCAAACTAACTTCTTTAATCTAGTGTCTCTTTTATTTAGTTTTATTGTCCATATGCTCCTTACTCTGTGATCCTAATCCAGATGATCCTTTAGTACCAGATATTGCACAGATCTACAAGTCAGACAAGGAAAAGTGAGTATAACATATATGTAATTGTGTGTGTTACTTGCAGATGGTTATATACTATGCACCTTCTATCTTAACTGTTAAAGATACTCTTTTTGTAGGTTTCTACAGGATTAGATTTTTAAATCTTGACAATATTAATGAGTGGAATGGCAAGCAGAAAACTGTAGGCATACATAATTTTTTGTACTTAGTTGTATAAAACCATCACACTCTTGTGTTTCATCTTTGTATTCATTGCATGAAAAATAATTTCCCACATATGAGTTACTTGTTGCTACTGTGATCCTCTGGTTGTAAAACCTATGCCTTTAGTAAGGTGTTAGGTATGAACAACAAATGTGTTTTTGATACCATTTTATAAATGTAGGATAGACTAATCAGCTCTTTAGTGCTAAGAACCATTGTCACATCGCAATTTGCAGCATCTTACTGAGAAAAAGAACCTTTTTTACTTTCTGGAACAGCTGTAGAACTTGCAGGAAGTTTCTGATTTTGGGAAGGTAGCATGGTCAGCATGTGATGGAAGTATTACATGCTTTTGGACCAAACCTGATTTTGATTTGAGAATTTTTAACTCTGAAAGTACTGTACTGGCTGGCAGGTCTTATAGTGCAGAACCACCTTCATTTCCCAAAGTTGAGTTTTAAGGCTTGCTGACTTCTTGTTGTACCCTAAAGAGGTCTTTTGAAAAACCGTCTCGTAACTACGTACATGGCTGAACCTTCCCAGTGTCAGGTAGCAGGATTTAGAGGTCACTAGCAAGCCCTGGTGCTTTGGCATAGTGGTGTTTTGTTCCAGAGCACTACCTCTCTGGGGTGATTCCTTTGAGCAATCAGACTTTGCAGCTGTGGGTGGCAGGAGGCTTGGGCCCTTTATTCCACAGATTAGACTGCATGATTTCTAAAAGATTCCATGGAGGAAACTACCTGCATGAGCCTTTTCCATCTTTGCTGCTTTCTGCTGCTATATCAACTACCTGCTTCTCCTGGGCTTACAAATATTAAAAACTTTGCACATGGAAAAGGTTACAGAATCAGTGATCCAGGAAGGAAATACGGTTTTGCTTACCACTGGGAGATTTTTTTGAACTCTGCTATCGGTATTTTGAGCATAATCCAGGATGTAGTCTGCATCAGCACAGCCTGAGCTGTGTTCTGTAACAGTGTTAGCACCTGTGTATTTTCTAGGTGGGTGTGGGATTCAGAAAGACTGAAGCACAAGATCAATTTAGGATAGTAACAAGGGGTAGGAGTGTCTCCAAGGTTTTCCAAATACATCCTGTCCTAATTTGCCAAGAATGGAATAACCTTCCCCAAAATGAATCTGCCACAAATCTTCTGGTGGCCTTGGCAATAAAGTAGTCATAGCCATGCAGCCCATTCATAGACAGCCTAGCCACCACTGTTTGTCTGACTTCTTCAGGTCATGGAAAAGGTTATAGATTTAGCTTGGGGCAGGCTTTTTATCCTTCATGCTTAAGCTGCTTTTTGGTAACCTTGCTGTTAATGATTTTAATTGTTAGACTCTTGGCTTCAGATTCCATGGAATGTGTGTGATATCCAGAAGAATTTTTTTACTTTTTGCTTAACTGACTGAGAAATTGTTTGGTGCCTATTTAGTATTGAGCCACCGAAGACTTCTTGCAATGTATGCTAATGGCCTGTGGTTCATCACACATCTCAGGTCCATGAAGGTTAGAGTATTGCTTTTACCTTGAGGACTGGATAGAGAAGTTACATGGAAGTCTGTGGTCTAGTATTTCCCTAGAGTAAGAATTATTAAAATGGCCTTTCTCTGACAGTTTGTCTGATACAGTCAAGTCACATTACCCACTTCCGAAATGCCTGAACTCAGTAGCTTGTACTTCAAAGCAGGTAGTGTTCAAGTTGTGGATGATGTGCCTCAGCAACTCCCCATTTGTGTTTCAGCTTTTGTCCACCTGCTCACTTAATGGTGATTTCAGCTATTGTGCCTCCTGTTTGACGGAAGCGAACAAGGGATATTTCTGTATCTCAAAAACTTGAAATTTAATCATTGCTAGATAAAGTGAGAGAACATATGGTCTTGACTAAAGCTTTGTATTCTCTGTACTGATCACCTATTAATTTTTTTTATATCTTGTATTGGATTTAGGACATGAAATATATGGCTTGTTACCCCTAAGCATTTATCTATGGGTATTTAAGTAGAAGTAAAAATTCAGACTTGTGTGGTAGCATATTCTTAAGAAGAAAACCAATCAGAACATGAGTTGTTATACTGATCTTAAGAAACAGGTTTAAAAACTTGTTAGCGTTTTCTCTGGAGGACCCAGAAGAAAGTGAATCTAGTCTGAAGAGTGGAATGGAACAGATGTAAGGACCAGAGGGGAAGTTATTGATTCCCTAAGGACATTTATCTTTGGGATTGCTAATCAGCTTCATACCAGAAGGAAAAGACCCAAGACTTAAAATCTTTTAGTCAAAGATGCTTTTCAGAAAATTTTCCTTTCAAGTTCTGAAATGCAGATGGCAGTGCAGAATGGAGAATAAAAAAAAAAAAACAAACAAACCCTCACTGTGCCTTCTATCCCTGCCCTTTCCAAAACCAGTGAATTATACTGAATTTTATGCAACTAAAATGTGTGAATGTAGTCATACTTTTAATAGCATACACGTTTAGGAATAATTGACAACAAATTCCTGTTAAGGAACAAATAAGGGAACCAGTTGTGAAATATAAGTTAAATATGCACAGTAATACAAACCTGTGAGACTGGTTTTGAGTCTAAATAGCTTTGATAGGTAACCTTAGAAAATGAACATACAGAGGGCATATGTTTCCTGGCTTTTAGACTATTTTAACATTATTTGAATCAGTGCTAAGGGGTGAAAAGCTCAATAACATCTATATTAAGTAAATATGTGGCCATTGTCCATGTTTCACTAACAGCTCTTCCCTGTAATGCCTTCTTTCTGCACGTACAGATACAACAGACATGCAAGAGAATGGACTCAGAAATATGCAATGTAAACTTGTGAAGACTTTTTCATATACCACAGAGTACTGTAAATTCTAGGGGTTTTTTCAAAATTAGAAGGAAATGGAGCACAGATTACTGTTTCAATGTGTCATGATGGCCCTTGAATTTTATTCACCCATCTAAAGTGTTTCTGGAGCAAGGGAGAACAAACTTCCAAAAATAACCTTATGACTGTGATAAGAGTATTTATCTTCTTTGTACGCTTTGCAGAAGACATTTATTATGGTTTTTAAGAGTTGGACATCTGCATCTTCAGACTACAAGATCCATAATGCAGTTGTAAAGCAAACAAATTATTTTTGCTGGAAGAAGTAGCTGTTTTTGTGATGAATACAGTGTGTGTGTCCTTAAAGTATGTTCTCCATTTCCTAATTGTGTTCTAATTTCATTTTATTAGTTCACTTACATAATTTGTATTTTTTTTTACTGTATGGACTAAATATTTTATTTACCATGCAAGTCATTTCATTGTAGACTTACTTGATTGTGCACAGTATTGACAAGATACAACTGCTAGTAATGAAAATAATTGGAGTATCCCACCTATTAGGATATTCTAAAGACTGACTGCAGATTTCTTAAAACCTAAAATGATCTTTGCACAGTAATTCTTTGTATGCTGATTATGGAGAAACACTTGGTTTTGATTCTGTTGCATACTTGACTTGATTTTATTGCAATGTGAACTAATTGCACTGCTATATAGAAAGAAATGTAACCGTTTTGTTGCTATTCACAACTGATTTTTGACATGTGGGCAACATAACGCTATCACAGACCTTTTACAAATCTAAATGTAGCCTTTTCCATATAAATAAAATGCATTTTCTACTACTTGTCTTGGCTATTTTTTTTTAATCATGCCTATTGTTAAAGTGCTTTTTCTAACATTAGAGAATCAAAATATTAAACGTGCATGTGTCTTGTAGACAAAAAGGAAAATAGAGCCATGCATCACATACTACTTAGAACTGTTGCAATTAATTTTTATGCTAGCTTTATCCTAATGTATTTAGCATGCCATTCCCATTGTTTTATATAGGATTTGAAGTAGTTTAATGACATGTTATGTCTATATTCGTGTATGGAGGAAATACCACAAGTGTTTGAACATCAAATACTTCTGTTAAGGTGGTGTATTTGCAATATCAGAATGTTACAGTAAACTTCTCACACTTGAAGCTAACTTTTCCTTTAACTGTCAGTTCAGTTGCTTCAGACTATGCATGTGGAAAACCAGTAGTGCTGGAGAGAGGTAATCTTTTCTTATAAAGGAAATTAAAAGCAGGAAAACTGTGATTTCCTACTGTACATTCTTCTTGGATATCTGAAAATAAAAATGTGTGACTAATGTTTTTTCTCTGTACCTTGCACATGAAAGAGAAGTGACTTGCAGGTGGGAAACTTGTCATCATAAAATACATTTTGAAGACAACAGAAATATTTGATATTTTTTTTACTGCAGTGAATGCCAAACTGGAATTTGAGGTGTGGGCAGGAAGTGTGCATGGTAGGAGCTTCTGTTCCTACCAGTGGAATCTTATCTTCCTGCTTGCTGACTTACTGTCCCAAATGTGGCAGAGGGTGGTCATGTATGGGAAAATGTCACTTCTGTGCTACGATTTTATCTACGATGTAATGATGACTTTCAAAACAAAAGCTTGATGGAGAGTGGCTCTATTAATACTAATCCTTGTTCACTTCAGATTGTAAACTGAATAAATATGAAGTGTTTTGTTATTAAAATGAGTGCTTCATTATACTTGAACTAGGACAATGTAGCTAGGAAGGCAAAGCCATTGTTTATACTTACTGTGAAAATGGTGGTAGGAAACTATGACCATCAGAATGTGTACCCAGAGCTTTTATATTTTCTAGATTGGTAGTAATATGTTTGTACTAGATGTTATTTCAATGTTTGCTGTATGTGTATTGAAGTGTGTGAAACTAACTTTGGCCTGCATCTTGGAATCCTCCCTTTCTTTTTGGTTTATTGATTTGTAGTCAGGATGGTTTGAAAACTTTTGTACTTCAGCTGGTAATTTTTCTGCTGTGTGCCATACCTGCACCGCTGACTTTCCATCACAGTGCACGATGAGCAGGATGATGAAAAAAGACCACCGTGGAGTAAGGTTTTCTGCCTACAGCACCTCTTTAAATGCTAAAAAAAAATTTGTCTTAAGAATTTGCTGAGTTCAAGGCCTGAAGCGCTCAGCCTTTGATTGTTCTGAACCTCTTCACCACGCATCCTTTCTGGTTTTAAGATGATACTGGTGTATTTAAAAATATTAAAGTTGGTTGAATATCAGCTCCAGCGATAAACATCTACCCTGCTACTCATTCACAGTTCCTCTGTTAGTATTTTTTACGCCATTGCTATTTTAAGGAGGGGGGGGGAAATACAGCTGCAACGTTACTCCATCCTGTGTTGTTCATGACTGTCTCCGCGTGCTTCTTTTGTCCCAGACTCTGCCCGTGCCCCAGCCCCGAGCGTACCCTGCAGCGGGACCCGCTGCCCCGCTACTGTCGGTTTTTCCCCTCAGCTTCGCTCCCTTCCGCCCCCCGTCTCGTTTCCCGCCCGCCTTTCCTCCCGTGACGCCGGGAGCGCAGTGCTGAGCTCTCGGGGAGGGGCCGGGAAGGAGCTGCCGCGCGGTGACCTTGGGCCGGGCCCCTCAGCGGCGGGGGGCGGGGCCTCCGCTCCCGGCTCCGCGCGCCCTCGGGGCGGGCAGCCAATCCCCTTCGCCTGGCGGCGGGGAGGCCCGCGCGCGGCGACCGCTCTCCCAGGGGGCCGTGCGACGGCTCGCGCGCAGGCGTGACGGGCGGCAAGATGGCGGCGGCGTTGGGGCTGCTGGGCCGGGCCGCGGGTCTCCTCAGCGGCGCGCAGCGGTTCCTGCGGTGCGGGCGGGACGGCGGGCGGGACGGCGGGGGCTCTGGGAGCTCAGGAGGGGAGGAGAGGGGAGGGGGGGGCGGCCAATTCCTCGGCGGGCTGGGGCGTTGGGCACCCCTCGGCCGTGTGGCGGACGGCCCGTGAGGCGCTGCGGGGTGCCGTTAACCGGGCGTGCCGTTATTGTCCGCAGGGGCTGTGGCGCCGGCGGCTCGGCGAAGAACCTCTCCAGGGGGATCAGCTCGGACGAACGCCCGAAGCGGCCTATGACGGCCTATTTTCGTTTCCTGAAAGAAAACCACTCTGTTTACAAGCAAAAAAATCCAGGTATGAGGTCAGGAGGGGATTAGGGACGAGAGGAATCGCGAATGGTTTTGGTTTGCTTTTAGAAATACGAAGTCTTAACGCACCAAGGGTGCCAGAGGTTTTGTTGCAAAGCTGCCGTTGCTTTAGATACATATGGTGTTTCTGCAGATGAATGTGTGAGTTGCAGAAAACTGGAACAAAGCATTGCTTCGTGAAACTGAATGTCATAAAGTACATTACCTTGATTTCAGAACACCAAAACCATCTTGTTAGCCATAGCACACCACAGGTAGATTGCCACACTTACTGCCCGCGTGTGTATTAGCTTAGTCTTCTATACTTAATAACCCAAAACAACGAACATCTGTGTAAACTTTCAAAATGTTTGAAGAAAGACCTCTCCTGGGCAATAGATGTTAACAACTATTTCTGGTTTTCACTTATTTAAAAATCTGTATGTACTTGAAGTACACTATTGCTGATATGACAAGCTGTATATGATTTTATTTTGATACTTAATAATTTAAAAACTATGTATACTGGATCACCTCAATGTATATGGGATAAAAAGTAATGGTTTTCTGTGAATATGTTAAATTTCTTATCAAAAACTTCATTTGTACGCAATACAGTCACTTCTTGTCAGAGAGCAGCAAAATGGAAAGCTGAGCCCATTTCGAAAATACCGTTGAAATTAATGTAAAAATGTTTAAAGAACTATGGTCATTTTGGGCAAGTCATGAGGTAAATTTAAGTAGGGAAAACCATTAGAATACCCTGTTTTGCTCAGTAGTTCAAGAGTTCAACAGTCTGAAAGGTTGGGAACTGGACTTGCAGAGCTAATTGTAGTTAACGTGCCACAGCCATGTTTTCCCCACGTTTCCAAAATTCTGATAATTTGCAAATAAACGTGCTGTATTTCATATGCACATTGAGAATGTTGGGCTTTCTAGTTCCAATAGAGGTAATGTTCAAAAATAATCTGAAAATTTGTTTCCTTTTATTGTTGGCAAAGCATCATATTTTCAAAGGGTTCAAGATTGGTATACTTGGACTAAAAACTCCCCATCTGTCTTGTTTTTCCAGAATTCTGGAAGTCAGCTTATTGATAAGAGCTTAGTTTTGCTTTTCCATTGTTGAGATGGCTGAACTGTACAATTGAGGTGGGAGAGAGGAAGATCTATTTTTTTTCTCTTAGTGTGAAGCAGAGGGAAAGCCTGTGAAGGATTTTTCAAGAAAAGAAAAACTTATATTCTCTTTCCATCACCCTCAGGGTTTATATTTGCTGGGGTTTTGATTTTGATCTTTATCCCCCTTCACAAATTCAGATCTGGCTGGAAACCTCACCAAATGACCATAGTGCAAGGGCCAGAGTCAAAGGCAGTCAGCTGAAAACCAAAGCGGATTCAAATTGCTGTAATTTTGTTTGTGGGAGAAGGAAATTACTTTAACCTTAATTCTGTTGATTAATATTGTAAATAAAGGACATTATTTTAATAAAGATCAAGCATACCTGCTGTATCAGGTGGATACAGTCACATTGTACTTGCTTTGAAGAATTCAGCAGGCTCTTTTTGCCAGAAACCTGTTAACTGGAAAGTTTACTTTTGGTTTCTTCCCTGGCCCCCCTCTAAGTTCAGACCATCTTGCGTTTTATAGAAAAGGATCCAACTTAAAAGAACAAACATGAAACTGTTGTGGAGTGATAATGGCTGTCTCTTGAAATGATGCTTCATTTTACAATTGCATGTTTCATTTGAGTTTGAACCAAGAGCAGGGACTCTCACCACCTCCACCCCCCTGTATTACAAGTGCTTTTAACTGCCCCTGTAAGTTAGTTTATTAAAGAAGGAAAATATGTTTGTACAGGAAGAAGATACTAGTGACAGCTTTCCTTGGGAAAAATTGAAGCAGCTTACTAGATACACAATATTGATCTTTATTTTCTTGTTCTCATATTTTAATGTACAGAAATGAGCAGTGTGGAGCTGGTTAAAACAATAGCAGGAGCTTGGAAGGAGTTACCAGCATCACAGAAGCAGGTAAATTTGTATCATAGTCACATGTACTTTGAACTCTGTAGAGTCTTAGTGGTTGTTCTGCTTGGTTTGGTGTCCTCTGTTTTTTTTGGTTTGTGTTGTGGGTTTTTTTTTGTTGTTGTTTATGGTTTTATTTAAACAACAATAAGAAAGCATTTGTGTACAAAGGCTGAGACATAAAAACAATTCTGAGGAGAACTGGGAGCTTTGAAGTACTCAGGCAATGATAATTTGACACTTCTACACATGACCTTGGTTTTGTATTTTTAATCTGTTGTCAGACAAACAAATGTGTTGGATCTTGCTCTATGCAGCTGTAGGGCTGGGAACCAATATCTAATTTCTTTTTTGAATGGTAATTGTATATGTGTGTGCATTACATGTATAATGACATAGGTATTGTAAAGTTGTTCTGCTTTCATATGCGTAAGTTAGGTGAAACATCAATTAATTTTGATGAAAGGACCAACTTTTTTCTGCAGATTAGGTAGTAACCAGAGACCTAACTTACAGGTAACTTCATTTAATCATAGAATCACGGAGTGGTCTGGGTTGGAAGGGATCTTAAAGCCCCCCCAGTGCTACCCCCTGCCTCGGGCAGGGCCCCCTTCCCCCAGCCCAGGGGGCTCCCAGCCCCGTCCAACCTGGCCTTGAACCCTTCCAGGGAGGGGGCACCCACAGCTGCTCTGGGCACCCTGGGCCAGCGCCTCACCCCCCGCACAGGGAAGAATTTCTTCCTTAGATCTCATCTAAATCTCCCCTCTGTCAGTATAAAACCATCAACCCTCATCCCATCCCCACCCCCTGACCCAGAGCCCCTCCCCACCTCTCCTGTGCCCCCTTTAAGCCCTGGGAGGCCGCTCGAAGGTCTCCCCGGAGCCTTCTCTTCTCCAGGCTGAACCCCCCCAACTCTCTCAGCCCGGCCCCCCAGGGGAGCTGCCCCAGCCCCCCCAGCATCTTCGTGGCCTCCTCTGGCCCCGCTCGAGCAGATCCGTGTCCTTTAAGTTTTATCTAACTTATTTTTTGTCATAGGCAGTGAAATGTCTCTAGGAGTGACAGTTTCAAGAGATAATGTAGAACAACTCTATGAATTGCTTATCACTGAGGAATATAAGTGCCATTTATAGCAAAGTAATGATTATTCTTCCTTGATTGCAGTTAGCAGTTATGTTCAGTTACAAACTAACTGTAGTTTTCTAGCTAAAGTAGTATCTTTGTTCAATAGAGTTGAAGTGCTCTTATATCCCTTCTGGACATCTGGCTCTATATGCTTTAGTATAAAATATGCCTTTTCATTTGTATGTCTGAAATGGAGAACAGGATGGTGATTTTTCAGGTCTGCCTGGATGCTTGGTAGCCTGGCTCAGTTCTTGGTGCCCTGGTAACAAGGCCATGATTTTATGATGCTTCTGTATCTGGTTTTAGCCAGTGTAGGAGTGTGTTTGTAAGTGACCGGCGCACTTGCTTACATACTTCAAGAGTAATAATTTTAAACAAGCTTCAGCTTTTCTTCCTTGTATGGAAGATTGTTGTTGATTTGAGCTGCATCTGAGTATTCATCCGATGTTATCAGATTAACTAAGATAATTCATGGGAAGAGCCCAGGTTTTGAATCTGAGTTCTTCTGAATCCATTCTGCTAATCAAACAGATCTGAAATTGCTATTTTATTTTAAAAACCTTATGTTCCAGGGTAGTCTGTTTTTTTGGTTTTGTTTTGTTTTGGGTTTTTTTTTTAGTAATAGATTAGAAGCGTTAATTTGTTTAACAGTCAAGTGCTGCTGACTGAAAGCATGTGTTTAAGGTTGGTGATTGTCTGTGTTGTAGGTTTATGAGGAAGCTACAAAGACAGACTGGGAAAGATATGAAGGGCAGTTGGCTGCATATAAAGCACAGCTAACTCCAGCCCAGATTGTGGCTTTGAAAGAAGAGAAGAGAAAACGACTGGCAAGAAGAAGATTGTTCAGGGTGAAAAGAGTAAGTATTTTGAAGTTCCAAGTTTCTTTTCTCTCAAGGAACCTGAATTCTATTTGTCTAGTATACAGAGCAGAGTTGAGATGTGTTTAGAAATATAAAAGCAAATCTCAAAAAAAAACCCAACCAAAAAACAAACCCACAAACAGTAAAACAAAACTCCATGGATTAAAATAATTGCTGGTGTTAGCAGTTTCTTAGTGGCTTTCCTGTGCTTGAAGACCAGAAATAGCATATATCTTTGTGCTCACAGGTGTCTCTGCTTTTTTCTTCCTATTCCTAAAGCTGCCTGAGGAGTGATAGGTAGTAAAAGCCATTTGAACCGGCAATACTTTCTTTGGTTGGGAACACATCCAGAAACGGTTTTCACAAAGGCCTTGTATCTGTTACTTCAGTGGCCCCTACAAGGTAGCAGCTGCTTGAAATAGTCTTTTTTCCTTTCCTTATTTAGATACTGCCACTTTGCTACTGTGTAGCTGCTGGCATGTTGAATTAGGCTTGCATAGAGGCACGTCCACCGGTATCCTTTATTGACTTACTCATACAGATGGTCTTCCCTATTCCCTTTTAGCTTGTTTATACACAAATCCTGAGAGACAGAACCATCTGTAAAGGTACAATATTATGTTTTTTCCAGTGTCTAAACCAGTTGAAGGGGCTACTCATTGCCTGTTCATTTCTGTGAATTAAACTGCTGGTGTGACATCACCCCAATTGGCATAAGTGAAATTAATTTGGTTTAAAAGACACCTACTTAGAGGAAGTTTTTAATCCAAATGATTCTGCTTATCCTTTTTAGAGTATGGCACCACATGGAATTTAACTGGCATACCTAATACCTAAGCAGATGTTAATTTGCAGCACCCAGACTGCAGTGGGAATGTCTCACTTGTTTTCTCCAGCCCTGTAATTACATCCGTAATTTGCTGTACTTTCCCTCTCTCAACATCATCTGTGTAGGCAAAACGTTCTGATATCAGAAACCTAGTTCTGTTTCCCTGAAAATCTGCTGGTTCTGTTCCACCTTCTCACCTCCCACAAAGCTGTGTATCTGCCCTCCTCTCTGGGAGCATACAGTATTTCACACCAGAAACCAAAGCTTTATGAAGATAATAGAAAACCTCTCGTCATAACTTTCTTACTGAGTGGAATTCAACAACAGTCTTTGGTTTCTGGAAGACTTAGGTGAAGTAAGAATCAGTTTAAAATGCTTTTTTCTTTTTTTTTTTTTAATGTCTGTGAAAATTCAAGTTGTTAGCTTTTCTTAATTTAGTATAGCATTAGTCTTGACAAATGGTGAGAGCATCCTGACATACAGTCCAGTTTACGGAATAAAACACCAAAAAATGAATTTGACTCTGATTTTTGTGTAAAATATAAAGAAGAATGGTAAGTTTAATTTTGGAAACATGCATGCTTGGTAGATTGAGTAACTTCTCTTGTTGTTTTTAAAGGAATTGTCTGTGCTTGGAAAACCTAAAAAACCTCGTAGCAGCTTTAACATTTTTGTGTCAGAACACTTTCAAGAAACTGAGGGAATTTCAGCTGTGGTAAGCCAGGAAAGATTGTTCTTTAAAATAGATCTATTGTATTCAGAAAATCTGTTTTAGATTCTGTCATTTTCAGAGAAACTATTTAGTAGGTCAGTATCTGGATTTTGCTTTGCTTAGGTTGCTTTTTTTTTAGGCTACAGTGTGGTGATCTGGCTATATTCTGGTGGCATGTCCTACATAAAGCTGCTGTGTGGGTATACAGAGTTAAAATATTTGTGCTATTTTTTGCACTTCAGTGTTACAGACTTCATCTGTTCCTTCTGTAAGGAGAAAATTTTTCTCTTTGTTTTGGTGCAGAAATAACATCAGTTTTTCAAATGGCTGTGGCAGTCTGCTACAGTTTCTGTAGTAGTGGTTATTGTAGCTTCTGTAGCACAGGCAGTCTTACAGAAGGTGCAGAAGTTACTCAGCAAAGTCACAAGTTCTGCACTGAGGTGCACTTTGGGGTGTTTTAAGTTTTTGTGGATTACAGCACTTGAAGACCTCCTTGTATTCCTACTTGTGCATTTAGTCAGTAAATCAGGATGGTGGAAGTAGTTTGTTCCTGGATTTTCTATGTACAGGGCAAGCATCTGCAGTCAGCTGAGGCCCAATTTGACACACACGTGGCAAAATACACCTAAAGCAGTACAAAGCTTCCTGGGAACATGGTTAATACTTGTGTGGCCTTGGTTTAAGTTAGGGGCTGGTTTAAATGAAACCAGTATGTGGGGTAAGATGTCGCATTGCTAGAAATCAGCTCAGCTGTTCTGTCTGCCTGCTTTCAAAGCAGGCTGAGTAACTTAAACTGCTTTGTGCTTATATTGTCTGTAAATGTGGCTCAAGTGATGCCCAGCAACTTGGTGAATTATATTGTTTATCATTTACCTACTTTAGGAGGGTGGGGTATTAATCCCATATGACTTTCTGCTTTTTTACATTGGTGTATATTTGGCTTTCACTAGTGTGACATTCATCTGTAACCCTGTGGTCAGTCTGCTGTGAAAATAATCCTAACGTATTGTATATTCTGTATCCTGTAGGCAAAGATGAAGCAATTGTTTGAAGCATGGCGAAAACTGTCCGATTCTCAAAAGCAGGTATGTCAGTGGGTTTTGGTGAGGCTCTGATCTAATTGGAAAATTACAAACTGGAGTCAAAGTTAATAAATTCATAGGAAATCTTGAGCTCAGTTGCTCAAAATATAATACTGAGGACAATACTCTGAGATCTTATTTGTACGCCTTGAAAAGGATTGTCATTACTTTTATTCCAGTAGTGACCATTTCTTTCACAGTGTTGATGAAATGTGAGTCAGCGGGATGGGATGGAAGTTCTGTATGCCTGGAAATGGATGCTGAGCGGCATCTAGGGAGGAAGGTGGAATAATCTGCAACAATTTGGGTTTTTTCTAATAATACTTATTTTTAAGTGCCAGCATAGTAATTTGCTGCTCATGGAAAGACTTTGGACAGGTAAAAGCAACAGAAATCTACAGGTAATGTGCACACAGTAATTTATTAATTTTGGTTGTTGTGAGGATACTTTTTTGCCAGCTTTCTCAGTGTATTGAAATATGAACCTGCAGATGGGGGTATTGAAAATTGGAGGGGTGCTCTACTGAAATCTAATCTAAACCTCCCAATTTTCAAGTATTCTGTACCTTACTGTCCTTCCTCCTGAATGCCCTTCTTCCAGATTGTTTTGAATGCGTTCTTAGAACATGCACTATGTTCATGTTTTTTTCTGTAGAAAAAGAATTTGAAATAGTTCTGCAGAAATATCTGTTCCTGTTTCTTACATAAGCCATCTCTCTCAGAGTCGCACTCCCATAAAAAGCCTTAGCTGTTAGTAGTCGTACTGAATACACTTCCTCTTCAGGGATGTCAATCTGTTGACATAACCACAGTTCAATACTAAGGTTTTGTATTTTTATGTTGGATGTTTTTTGAATTTTCTGAAGGTGAAAGTGGACGCCTGGGATGTGCACTACACAGGTCTTGTAGTAAGTCACTTCTGTATCACAGAGGAGGATGTGACATGGCAGTTATCCTGACAAAGCCCCTTCTGTAACTGTTGATACCTTATTTTCTCCCAGCCATACATGCAGCTTGCTGAAGATGATAAGGTTCGGTACGAGAATGAAATGCAGTTGTGGGAAGCAAAAATGGTCGAACTTGGACGCAAAGACCTGATACGTTCCAGAAAGAAAAAGCCAGAAAAGAAAACTGCTGAAACTGCAAACAAAGCTGAAACAGCCAAAGCTTCTTCATATGAAAACGAGGCAAAGTTAAAGTTGAAAAAATCGGAAGAATGAAATGGTTAAGTATTTTATATTTGATGCCCTTTGGTTGTCATGTCTTTGTCCTGCTGTGTTAATGCTGCAGTCTGCATTAGCACCAAAATTTGGAGAACCCATAAAGGGCCCACTGGAGAAGCAGAAAAGATGATCAGGTAAGAGAGGATGCGGTGCCTCTCAGAACTGACTGAAATAATCATTGCAGGTGTAGCCTCAACTGTACAACAGTAACTGGTTAATCAAGCTGTGAATAGTGATACTCACTGACATCAGCAGAGCTCTCCAGTAATGGTAGATAATGGCTAGCTTTTATAAGATACTTTTAATGAAAGCAAGAATATTCTGCAATGTTACCATCTAAATGCTGTAAATAAGAGCTGAAATCTGAGTTGATGCTGTTGTGTTTTATTCCCTCCATGGTATTGGTAGCGAAATGTTCTACATTTCAACAAAAGGCACAGGAAATGTAAAATACTTACTGTTATTTCATGCATCTGTCTTTTTGTACAAATCAATCAGTATATACCACTTATGTTGCATTTAATTAAAGACCATATGAGTTTTGTATAAACATATCTTTACTGGACTTTTATTTCATGGCTTTGTTTGGATACATGCAAGCACTTTTGCCTTCCTGTTGTCACATTTGGGACAGCCTGGAAGGAAGAGACTATGTGTGAACTGTTAGAACTTTGAGTTTTGATGTCATAAATGTAGGTATTTTGACGAGGTGCTTGTTTTTTTCTACCGGGGTCTGTCTGTCTTAGTGAAAGCCTCATAGGTATTTTGGAGAGTCTGTTTTTAGAAGGAGGGCAAGCTTTTTCAGTAGGCAGTGGATTTCATCCATCCCGAATGACTCAGAAAAGCCAGCAAAGCTTCGTTTTTACCAGTGGGAAGTGGAAAGCCGAAGAGGAGTTGCTCGCCCGTTTGTTTTATCTGTTTGTTTCCCGCTGGTTTTAAAACGTACTGCTGCTAACTGTGTCTGAGCGCACCTGGCTTTCCTCCTTCGCAGGAGAACACAGAGCGCGTCCCGAGGGCGGAGGCTCTCGCTCCTCAGCAGGTTCCCGGCCCGTCCCTGAGGGGCAGCCGCCCGCACCCAAACCGTCCTCGGGGCGGCGGGGGAAGCCGGGCCGGCTGCAGCCTGGCCGCCGGCGCCTGCGCAGCTCCTGCCCGCTCCAATTAATTGTGCGGGAAGCCTTCCCCCTCCCCCGCCGCCCCCCGCGCCCGCCCGCGGAGCGGCTGCAGCCGCGGAGGGGAGCGGAGCTGCGCGGCTGAGGGCGGGGAATCCCGCCCGCCTCCCTGAGGGCGCTGCCGCCGCGCCGCGCATGCGCGGGCTCGGCCCAGTCTCGCGAGAGGCGGCCGGGCGGGATGGGGCTGCTGGAGGAGTGCGAGGAAGCCTTCGGCTCTGCCGACCTTTACTGCGTCCTGGGAGTCCGCCGGGGGGCCTCGCCGCGGGAGATCCGCCGCGGCTACCACCGCGCCTCGCTCCGCGTCCACCCTGACCGCGCCGAGCCCCACGCCAAGGAGGAGGCGACGCGGCGGTTCCAGGTGAGTGAGGCTGCCGGCCGCCCCGCTGCTGCCGGCCGCCCCGCTGCTGCCGGCCTGACCGGCCGGCCCCTCTGTGCCCGCAGATCCTGGGCAAGGCCTACGCCGTCCTCAGCGACGCGGAGCAGCGCGCCCTGTACGATGAGCAGGGCACGGTGGACGAGGAGGGCGAGGTGCTGAGGGGCGAGCGGGACTGGCGGGAGTACTGGCGGCTGCTCTTCAAGAAGGTAAGAGCTGGGCCGGGCACCGCAGGGCTCGCCTGGGCGGGGGCAGGCCCTGCGGGAAGTGGGGAGCTCCCTGCTTCGGGCCTGTGGCCGTGTCTCCCTGGCGAGCTCCGGGTAGAGCATGTGGCTTCTCTTTTTGTTTTGGTTTGGTTTGTTTTGTTTAACGCTGTCTCTGAAATCCATCTGGTGAATAAATCATGTAACTCCATGTCACTGCTTTGCTTCAGATCACAGTGAAAGATATTGAAGACTTTGAAAAGAGCTATAAAGATTCGGATGAAGAGCTAGCTGATATTAAAGCAGCATATGTGGAATTTGAGGGTGACATGGATAGAATAATGGAGTCTGTGTTGTGCGTGGACTACACAGATGAACCAAGAATACGGAAAATCATAGAAAAAGCCATTGACTCTGGAGAAGTCCCAGTCTACAAAGGTTTTGTGAGAGAGTCTAAGCAGAAAAGGATTGCGAGAAAAAGGCGGGTAGGTTATATCAATCCAGGACCAAAGGGAAGCATTTTTTTTATGATAAGATTTTAATCTTGTTAGAAATAAATGGAACTGTTCTTGAGGAAAATGTTTGCCACAGGATTTCTGGGTTACAGATCATGCTCCATGTCTTTGAATTTCACATTTGGACACCTGTGTTCTCCACCCTTCCCCCGCCCCCCCAAATTGTTGTGAAAGGCTTTTGAGCTGTGATAGGCTGCTGCCAATCTTTATTCTTTTGTTTTATTATTAATTCTTTATTTTATTATTATACACAATGGCTTATTACAGTTTAGCATGTCCCTGCACTTATCTACACAGCTATGAGTTGCTGGAGTTCAGTGTATGTGGTAGAAATACGTTATGCTCGCCTTCTGGCGAGTGTGAAATAACATTCTGGACTAAATGGACCTCTTCTTCAACATGGGGTTTTTTGAACACTTTGTAGATGTTACATGCACATCGCAGTAACCGTTCTCTAAGTTAAAGAAAATGTAATAGTTGCCAAGACAAAAAAAGTGTGGGTGGGGGGAACAGGGATAGGCATAGACATCACATTCAGCATTGTGAAACAACAAAAAACTGTCCCGCTCTACTAAAGCCATAGTGGTCTTTTTTTCACCAGTTTGTCATCTCTGGCCAAATTTGGAAACAATTTGTGTTTCCTTGCAGCTAGTTGTATACAGATTAAAAAAAAAAAAGTTTCATAACTGTTATAAGACTTTGTCAAATAACTTGCAAAATACTTGTTAAAAAACTAGTTTGCTATTTTAGGCAGAAAAAGAAGCTAGAGAGGCAGAAGAGACTAAAGCTGAACTGGGACTTGGTGGAGAAGAGGATTTGAAAGCGCTGATTCAAGTAAGGCTTTTTCTATCTGCTGAAGAGAAGTATGTTACTGGCCTATAATTCTGTTCTCCCTGAGCCTCTTTGTAGTTTGGATCCTTGCAACTTGAGAGTTCTGAGGTTAAAACCTGACCTTAATGTTAGCTACCTATGTACTTAATAGTCAGTGTGGTATGGATTTATTGCCTGCATCTTTTGAAAATTAACAAAGTTATTCAAATATCCTTATGGCATACACAATCAAAATATTTAACTTCTAGTTTTAAGTAGGTAGACAGGGAGTATTAATGATTCTTTCTCTGAGGGATTCCATCAGGATGTAGAAGCTGATATGTCTTACTGTTTTGTATCTTGAGGGCTGAGGAAAGAAACATACTGTTTACATTCTGCTTTTTGGAATGTTTTCTGTTCCTCATCATTCAGTGGGCTTCCTAGAATGTTCATGCTTAATCATTCCTCAAACTGTAGTGGAGTTTTGGGTCTAAACTTAGAAATTGATTTGCTTTTCCTAGGCTTATGATGTTGGGAATTTTTATAGCCACTTAATGTCTGTCTCGATACTTCAGGAGAAGTTAGGTATAGAGCCTAGAGTACACAAGTAGAATTTTGCTTGATGGTACTATACTTTGTATTGTATTATATTTGTATTTTATTATATTGCTTGCATTCCCTGTTTAATATATTCCAATATTTTATGTAGCTGTCATACTGTCAACTTCAACAGAATAATCTGTACTAGGAAGTAGTAAAAGTTTTGGGTCAGTTTTCTTTTTTAATTTCCTCTCCCTCAGAGCAGAAATAAAGATCGAAAAAAGGAAATGAATGACTTCTTGGCCCAACTGGAAGCAAAATATGGGAAAAATGCTAAAAAAGGAGGAAAGAAGACTGCAGCCAAGAAAAGAAAGAAATAAAGAACTGTGTAGGCTGAGATACCAGGTATCATTTTGTATGGGATCACATGGATTTGGGAGAATTTCAGAGTTTTTCTGGGCTGCTGTTTCAGAGTGTGTGCATCAGTTTGCTGTGACTGGGAGGTATGATACAGAATGCATCATGAACAAGACAAAGCATTCTGGTGCTGCTCTTTAAAAATCCTTTGGGTGCTCTTTGGTTAAGATCAAACAGATTCCTGAGTAAAAGTTGTTACAGTAAGGAAGCGGTGTGAGGTTTGGGACCATGGTGTGTTTATTAAACTTCTTTGGAAGCAGCTTCCTTCCAAACACCTAATGGATATTGGTACAGTTGATGGCAAAACGGTGTAACCCCTCACCTTTGAGAGTCTTCAGTGCCAATTCCTGCAGTTTCTGAGTTGGAAACCTTATCTTTTTGCTATTCACGTTTCTTATGTAACAAACCTTCTGCTGTTTTTTAAAGGTCTTTGAACTTCAGCACAACAGGTATTTTCAGTGGTTTTATAAAGATACTTTGGAATATTGCAGATTTAATAAAGTTTTCATAGAATTTTGTGCTAAGTTGCTTCCCCACCCCTCTCTACCTTTTCTATGTAGCTGTTCAAAACAAACTGATTGTGTCGACTCTTCTGACTGATTTAAGTCAAGTAAATACTACACACTTGTATAGCAGCTGTAACTATGGCTACATTGTTAGCTGTGATGTCAGTGCTGGTGATGCCATGTTCCATGAAAGGGCCAGCTCGTGTTTGGCCTTGGATTGCCTGTGGCAGATGCCTCAGGAAGAAGACTGCAGCATGTATGTCACTGTAGGAATCCTCTGACACACTGAGGTGAGGCAATAGTTGAAAAATCCACAGGAGAGAGTCAGTTCTGTGCATTTCTAGGGTTTGTGGTGTCCCGTGACAAGGAGTTCCAAAGCTCAGAAATGCATTGCTTGTTATTTCAACAGCATCAGAGTCAAGTCTGCTGTAGGGTGGTAGCGATTAGCTACTTCACTATATTTGTCAACCCTTCTGTTATTTCAGAAGTGAATTCCCTAAGTAGGATCTGCAAATACTTCAAGGGTTTCTGCTTCAGCTGTTTTTAAACCACCTGACAGTGTGTGGGGGTATGAATTTGAAGGGTAATTAACTAGTTTTCAACTCTGTCTCAAAGGGATGAGGCTGGCTTTATTTTGTGGATCATTTTTCAGAGGCTTATGAGCGACAAGGGGAACACTTCCATTTGAGCTGAAAGTCCTCACTGCTTCAGTGATAGCATTCAGGAGCTGGCTATTTAATAGAGCTTCCCAGGGGGAAGCTAGAGGTAGATGGTAACTATTCCTTTACGCGGCTTCTTTCAAAACTTATCCTGATTCTGAGAGTACAGCATATCTCTATGTTGCACAACACGTGGACCTGAATGTTACTTTTACTGTACAAAAGAGATACCTACCAGCCCAGAAGTCTCGTGTCAACCATTTGTACAGAAACCAAAAATTACCTTATGATGAGACTGCTTTCACTTTTTTAACACACTGACTCCTCTTAGCTATAAAATATTACATTACATTACTAGAAGTCTATTCAAGTTTATTTGTATATTTTTGTAACTCTTATGCACTAGGGCTACAGAACACTAACTTGCTCCCTGAGGAATGGCACCGGTATAGAGGGGATGCTTATCTCCAGTGAGCTTGATGTAACTAAATGCCACACTGTACAATGTTCCAGTAGTGTCAGCTGTTAAAAGAAATTGTATTTTGAAAGGGTTTAGTGAACAGAGGCCTCTCTTTAGCATCAATTTGCCTCTATGCAAACCCAAGAGATTTCAACTGAGACCAGAGCTTTTTTTTTTTTTCACCCCACTAGAAATGCAAAGGAAAGCTAATTTAGTTACATTTGCACAGTTCTGCTTTGCTTTCTTTTCCCTTCTTTTTGAGTAAAGCATGCTTGGATCAACTGGACTCAATAACTTCAATATTGATTAAAAATTATTAGCTGTTCTGCAGGTACCACTAACATTCGATAGATTACATGACAGACTGGGATAGTAGGAGCTACTTCCTAAAGAATACTGACTAGTTTTTTTCATTATGAATTGTAATTTAGAAAACATTAATAAGGGAAATTTAGAAAGAAAGTGCTTTTTAATTGGACTATGAAGGAAAAACTGTTTTCATGCAGTGTCCTTATTTTGTTAAAACACATGAAGTGGTTATCCTCACCTCGTCTGTACGCTTATTTGTCATCTGGAGTTTACTGTTTGGGAGTAAGACCTTCAGCTAATCACTTAGAAGCATGTATTTCATGTTTTTGTCTAATTTGGAGCCACAAGGCCAACTGCAGCAAATACCACTGATACATCTGTCCCAGTGCAGAACCCATCTACTAACAACGTCGTTGCATCTGTGGGTTTGGAGCCTCAGGGCAGAGCGCAGAAATCTTTGGTAATTGCAGGCATTTTTAGAAAGGGAGACTGACCTATTTTGCAAAATTACCATGAAATATCCCGCCAGGAAGACAATGTACTTTCTTTGAATACTGTCTGGAACTACTTGCAGTAAGAGTCCCTTCTGCCTCTTCCACCTTCAGTCAGTGAGGAAGAGGTCCAAGTATGTAACACAGGAAGAGTCACTAGTGTGCTACCCTTAAAGTCATCAGTTCTGCTCAGCTGGCTTGCTACCTTATTTTTATACAACTGCGTTGATATCTGCTGCAGTTATTACAGGATTCATAACTTGTCTGAGTTGTAGAAGCAGCAACGTGTAGTGCTTGCTTTTGATAGTATAATGTTGCTTTAGACATATAAATACAGCTTTTAACATTGAAATTACTGCTGTTATGGAAAATCTTTCATCTTCTGTAGAGCTAACAGAAAAACTGGCAGATCCTGCAGTACTTGCCTGTAACAAGATGAACAGGTCATAAGCCAGTAATGGGAAAACAACAGTGGCTGAGTGTGTTGTCTGGATTTTCTAGGAGTTAGGCTTTACTGCCCACTGGAGTGCATTTACCCTTCCACTGGAGTATAACTACTTCTACTGGTAGCAAATGGAATGTTTTAAGTATACCCCTTCTAATCTTTGGCAACTGCTTCTTAGATTGATAAATAACTATTCATAAGGATGGGTGTTTGAAGACTCTGCTGTAAACAATGTTGACGTTGCTGAGAATGAGAGCTGGTGCATGACTCTGGCCATGGATGGACACTTCTTCATGGCACGTTTAGAACCCCTGTTTGCTTTTTGTGACTGATCCACCTCGACTGTGGGCTTTCAAAGAACCATGCAGCTGAAGACCTAATAAACAGAGATCATGTACAACTTCAGGACTTTTGAAAGGTATTAAAACTAAGTACCAAATACATCTCCTTTAGCTTAAAACTAAATTGCTTTTCTTTGCTGGTGTTTTTTTTTTTTTGTTTTTTTTTTTTATTCTAATAACAACTGTGTTACGTATGACTTATGCAAGTTTGAGACAAGTGCCTGGCCATCCAAAAGGGGCAAATTTTATGCTTTCACAGTTGCTGCATTGCAGGCAACTACTGTATTCCTTGATATTTCATGAAGTGTTCAAGTCTACAAAGTTCTTCTGGTGATTTCAATTTTTTTTTTGTTAATACATCCGTCAAAACTCAGCTTGCATTTAAAGATACTGGGGTTGGATTTTTGGGGGCGGGGGAGGGAGCAGATTTCAGTAGGAACCATTCCTGTCTTGCTTAAAAACCAGTTACTTCAGTTTAGTGCCTTTCAGTTGCCTCTTGTACCACTTGTAAGTGGTAGGAGGCCGCTCAGCTACTCAACAAGCTAAAAGACCCCTCCTGTCCTCTGACAGTCAACCATGTACTTGCTACCTTAACCCTTGCAGCTTCCATTAACTTTTGCAGCTTCACTCCTATCTTGTTAGTGTATTTTTATGTGGGAAATGCTGACAACTCCATAAGGAGTCCCAAACCACTGTGATGAAATGAATCCAGCGTCATTTGTCTTGACGGAGCTAGTTTTCAGAACGTGCACCTAATCCCCTGCTCTCCGTGCCACCCTTTCCAGGTGGAGGTGATACTTGGCATCAAAACAAAGTTAGCAGGGAATGCTTAAAAAAAAGCTGTTCCAGGGCACAAAAGTTAACTTTTTCTCTCCTGTAGTCTCTGAACAAACTCCCTTTCACCTGACTAGACTAGAGCTTGTGTGTGCCATGAGGTAAAAAACCTAAATCTCTGCTGGTAAAGTTGAAAGAAGTAAGGTTCATTGGTTGACTGTAACACTGGTGTACATGCATGCAACTAGTCTTGTAGCATCCTACTATTAAAAAAGAACCTCAACCCTGGTTGTGACAGTGTAGCTATTCTGAAGCACATATGATGAGTATTTTCAAAGTGTATTAACCATAAACAATTTAAAGAGATGACTTTGCAGTGAAGGAAGGGAAGCTGGAAGGAACAATATGCACTACATTCAGAAAAAAAATGCCTTCCTGCTGCATTGGTCCTTTGATCAATTAAAAATAAGTTTTAGATGAGATTCATTTTAGGTTATGCTAGGTAACTCCATAAAGTTTATCCAATTGTTACAAATTAAACACTACAAGCATATTTTGATTTCAGAGTGTGCATGTGAATTGTACCGGTACAGTTACTGGCTTTTAAAACATACTTTGAGTTGACTTCGTCCAATTCTCAGATTTAGTACAAGCTCTTCCAGATACAATACAAGTAAATTTCTTTTGGACATAATGCAAGTTCTTTTAGTTGTATAGCCACACAGAAGAAAAATCCTTGGATCAAAAGTAGTTGTCGCTAGTCCCTGTTTAAATTGGCAACTTCTGCTCTTAACTTTGACATGAGAGGCAGGGAAGCTATTACATTAAGCTTACTTGGATAATTTAAAATATTAGGTAGTAATAAAGAGAAACCAACTACCCTACCCAAACATACTCTATATGCAAGTATAAAACTTGTATAATGGAAAATTTAAAATATGAGATAAAAGGTTGAGAAACCTCAGTGTAATTACCTATGTAGGAAATGTATCCTTGGCTCAGAAGCCTACCTTTTGCTTACTCTTACTACATTCTATGACTGATGAGCATACCTGAACCTGTTGATCCTCTGCTTGTCCAAGATTGATTACTATAATCAATAACAGTGCAAGAACGGCGGTGCTGTGGATCTGGCTGAAAAGACAGTTCAAGTTATCTTTGCACAAAAAATTCTAAGCATCAAGCTTATATAATACAAACTACTTAAACATACTTATTTCCTAATTTGTAAGATGTTGTAAAGCTTGAAGTAGAGCTCTTACAAGTTCAAGGAGGGTTAAATCAACCTAACGTTCAACTCCTAGAGAGCAGAAAATACAGTTCTATAACACTTTTACTCAGAATGATCACTGAGCCAGTTAAAGGCATTCTCAGCGCTTCTGGAAATTGTTCTGTTTCAGATTTTAAAAAGCTTGTATACTCAACTGCTCAGTCAAGGATGTTGAAATTACACAGAGAAACCAAACCAACAGCTATTTAAAAACTATTGATAAAATTACAGCTTTTAAAGCTTAGATAAAAATACTTTGGTAGATAGGACAAGATAGCAGTAGGGTAGATGTTTCAGTAAATAAAACCAAGAGCATTTGATACTGAAGCAGCCTGGGCATTAATAGCACAGCAAACTTGTGGAAGAAAGCAGTGAAGACTATCCCACCCTCACGCTCCTGAATACTGCTTCAGGAATGACTTCCCAGTGTCTATTCAAAACTTTAAAGCATCCTCTGCTGCCCCACAGTTCTGAAGCCTTTACAGAAGATGCCAGACTGAATGCTATGCCTTAAGTAACATTTGGCTTTTTCCACAATCATCTCAAACTTGGATTCTTCAAGACAAGTGTAGTACCACCAGCTGCTTACAGGCGGTTAGGAGCTGGCTGGGGGAGTACAGTGAGGTCATTACCTGCGAACAAGTGACTCGTCCTGTTTGCTTTGGCAGTGCCAAACAATGATGTTTCTGTTAACCTGTGAGTATCCCATCAAGTGGCAAACTTAACTCCCTGGCACTGATCACCTCCGACATTTGGTTCTCAAGTAATGTTTACCTACGTTGTCATAGCACCTTATTGAATAACTAAGGGTGGTTTGGTCTCATTTGCCATGCTTTACCAAGAACGTGCTCGTTGTGTTAGGCCTGGAGAAACAATCAGGTAAGAGAAGCCGCTCCCGTAGCTGGTGGGTATCTTCTTGTGTTGTTACGCTGTGAGCTCGACTTGAGTTCCCTCGAGATTTCTGCATTGAAGAGTAAGTTATGACTTTTTCATATTGCAGTAGTACATTTAAAATAATTAGCTTACGATGAAAGCTAATTTTCAAGTTGATCATTCTACATCTACTCGTGGGGAGGAAAAAAATTCTGGCATTAATTGGAAATAAAGCACTTGACTCTGGGTGATGCTAATGGTCAAACTGATGTTTGTGCATCTATTTCAGTTGCTGTCACCTGCAAGGCAACAAACAGACTGGGTTTGGTAATTCGATCAGCAGTGATTATGATTTTTGACTACCCAATAGTAAAACTGTTGTGCCCATTACCATTTGCCTCTGGGATCCCGCAGTGCTCGCGTGCTCTGCCATGGTGGTGGTAGTAATAGGTGGTAGGAGATTATTCCGGCTGAGCAGCAGTGGGGAGGGTGAGGTCAGCTGCTCATGTGCAGTCAGACTGAAATGCATCAATAAGAACAGAAAAAACATGCAGTTTATATGTCTGATGTTGTGTAAGCATACAATAGTGTCAGTTTAGCATTATGTAGACAAACTGTTAAAACTTAAGAGCAACAGTTGTAGAATTTTGCAACAAGATGCTAGTGTTAGGGCTGACTATCGGAGATCAGATTTAAGAGAGTAGTTCTGCAGCGGGTCAAGCTTGGCAGAAATCTTTTTCATCTATTAATGTGAACATCTAGTTTTCATAATGTTCAATATTAAGCATATAGGCAAAGTGAGTTTGAGTATCCCAGCAGAAATCCTGGTAATAGGTGTATATAAAAGCTAGCTGTGGTTAAAATGCACCTCATCCGGTGCATTTTGAAGGAGTGTGCTGTGCAGCTGGTACTGCAGAACAAAGGTGCGTGTACATAAAGGTGTCTTCATGGGCAGTTACCATACAACGGTAGAATCCTGTCTGCCCGTTCCAAGACCCAGCATTATTTTCTATTCTCTGTTCATATACTTTAGGATGAAGTACTGCTTATTGCTAACTTCAGCCTAGCAAATGAAGATAAGCAGTGGGCCTAGAAAACAGCAGTGGGCCATATTTTAAGCAGAGCAATTAAAAAAAAGCTACGTAATACAAATGCATAGTATAGCTCTTATTACAAGTGTCAAATAAAATGTCTGGGGGTAAAACGAGGCTTCTACATTCTCCATATTTTGTTTGAGTATTTGAAGGAACAGATGCAAGATGCTTTTAGAAGTCTTCTAAAGGGAGCTAAACCAAACTGCACAAAGTACAAAATGAATTAAGCATTAATCACAGGAGGAATGTAACAGGATAAGTATCCAATTTTCTAAATATAGCCTTTTCATATGAAAGCCTTCTCACATGAAAGGTGTCTGCATATTATTGTACGTTTGAGAAGTACTAGCAATGATAAAGAGGCCTTAGCTCTATACATGTTCTGGAGTTGACTGAAGGATGTTCTGTAAGAACACGTAAGAAAAGCTTCAAGTTGTAATCAGCATTTTGAAAAAGACTCTTAGTGCTCTCTACATACATTAAAACATATGGTAATAAGGGGGGGATGTTAACAATTGCTACATTGATTGAAGCCTGAGGAAAGGGAACAGAAGCATAAAATACTGGAAGTAGATACATGAGTTGTGAAGGTACAAGGAACAAGTCTGTAACCAGTACCTGATAAAAAAAGTAAGAGGCTGGCTGAGTTTATAGGTAAACTGTAAAACTAAAAGGAAACGGTATCAGTTTACACCACCTGTGGAATACAGAAGTATATTAAACCCTGCATTGTTTCCTAATACCCTGTGGTCCCTGTAAATGACTACATTGTCAGATCATTATTCAAAAGTAGGACACTCTAGATGTAACTGAGAGTTCACCGAGTTCAGTAAGGGTCCTTTGGTCAGTCAGAGAACCCAAGATGAGCACCTTTTTTACAGCCCAGTCTGGGCAAGCACAGCAACAGGCAGTTGGAACTCTAAAAACTGTAGACTTTTAAGTTCATCTTGAAAATAGACTATAGAAAAAGAAAGCTGATGTCAAGCAAGAGATAGTGGTAATTGCTTTGCTTGTACTGGACAGACTGAGGTCTATAGTTTGTGTGCAAAACTACCTCAATATGTATGCAATTCCTTGAATTGCAGCTTGTAGCACTGTAAACATCAGCTTTAGCAAGTTGGCTTTCTCAGGGGAGATTGTGCTTTAATGGGCACTTAATTTCTTTCATCAAATTATTCATGTTTTTTCTGTTCAACCGAATGCTTTTTGTATAAACTGGGTTCTCTAAATGTGGTAACTTGCAGTGAGAAACTAGTTTTGAAACATACAGTCGAGTTCCCCTGAAGACATCATCCACAGACCCTGGGGTTGCAGTACAAGAGTAGCTTGTGTTGATGGGATGCCAGGTACGTGGTGGTGGGTTTCGTCTCCTCGTGGAACATGACAGGGATGACGTGCTGAGCTCTAGCAGCTGATCTGGCCACCCTCTTGTAGACAGGATGGAACTGGAGCCTGGCCGTTTGTCATCCAGGTCCCTAACAACAGAATTACAAAACCAGAAGAGATATGGTCAACGTGACTGATAACTACCCTGCTACCAAAGTACTCATCTACATGTGACTTTAATAATATTATGTGTGGATAGAGATGCTGTGTTTTCAGTTTTTTTATGTAACTATATAAAGTAATTTTCAACCAATTTAGAAAATAATAGGGGAGGGAAAAGAAACAAGAAGCCTATCTTTATTTTTTTAACTGAACTATGAACTTTCTAGTATAAAAGTTAATCATGGCACAGTTTAAAAAAACCCCATACTGTAACCACCAGTTTTCTCACCCATAGCCTAGATCTAACACAAGTCCACTTCTAGGAACTGAGCAAATCAGTTTCTCCATCCCATTCTGAGCTTCATCTCTTTTCAGGAGGTCAGTTAGTGCCAACAGTAATGCCACAGCTGCTCACTAACCGCTAACTAACACTAACCAAACCAGCAGCAAACAAACAGAAAACCTGTACTAGAAGTATACTGTTTCATAGAGGACAAGTAATCAGGCAGGAAAATAATTGAGAATTGCTTTTCTCTAGTGTAGAAAGTTATCTCACAATGTTTTGGGTTGAATCCCTCTCAGTGTGCGAGTGTTCTACTTTACAATAGATGATCTATAGTCCTTACAGTGTTTTCTCCATTACAGGCAGATTCCTTTGCTGTAGCTGGATCCCATGTATCACCATCAAGCCATTTAGATTACGTTGAGAGCTACCACTCGACCCTTGAGAGAGATTTACCTGAAATTTTAAAAAATAACTACGTAAATTACTGTTTGGCAGACACACACACACATATTTACAGATTTTTTTCCTTGTAAACAATTTTGGAGGAAAGAAATTAATTTCTTCCAGGACATCCAGATATATACTCAGTTATATTATTTCTCCCTCTAAGACAGGCATCTTAGCATTCCATTTTTATTGGAAATGGTAGTGCTTAGAAAATGTATCCTACCATGCTGTGTCATACTTAATATTTTCCAACTGAGCTTCCCATTTGCATGACAGGATCTTCCAACAATGGCTGTAATCAGAAGCTTTACAAAACTGATTTTCAGTGTATGTTGATATTTTATGTTGAGAACAGAACTGCAAACTCCTTTCCTGGAACACAGACTGATCTGGAAAAACAGTAAATTCCACCCCCCATACCGACAGCAAATAGAAAATACTAGAGCTTTAATCTCTCCAGCATACATACTTGAGGTGTTTTTCTTTTTTTTTTTTGCTTTTGCGACCACATCTGGTGTTTGGGCACTACACATACAGTAAGGGGAATATGAGGAAGAGGCATGGGTAGAAATAAAGGAGAAAAATAAAAAGGAGGAGGAAAGAGTTGAATTAAATTGGAATAAACAAGTAACACTTTGGTGCTCACCACTCTAGGAGCAGATCACCTAAAGCAGATTATAAAGTCGAAGTCAGTGTCTGAGAAAAAACCCTGTTTTACAACTGCACTGAGATTTGTCCCCTATTGCTTGATGAATTAGCTATAGGTAAGCTAGTAAGAGTAGGATCTCACACATGCAATCCTCGACTTCACAATTTAGTTCAAGCATTACTGAAATGTAGAAAGAACTACATCATTAATGAACAGCCACCACATGGTTCTCCAATACTTATATAAAATAAGTTTTAAAGAGAGAAGTAGGAATTAAAACTTGCAGCTGGGGAAGAACAGAACTTAAGTGTCAGAAAGGACAGTCAGCTTTCACACAAAATCAAAGCTAGTTATGTATCTAAGCAGTCCCCTGACGTACTTGAATCTGTTTGCTTAGGTAGCGCTGCATCGATTTGTCCCTGCACAAACCAGCTGGCTAAAAATACTTACCAGATTTGATGTCACTGAGGGCATTTTAGTTTGGGGCACACGAGGTAACAACACTGGCAGAGGATCAAACTGCAAAGGGCTTCCAGCATCTGCTCTGATTGTTTCTACCGTTATGATATTTTTCTCATCATCTATGCAAAGCAACAGAGAATTCCTGTAAATACAGACTACTGGCATTGCTAGTTGTGGACAGTGCTATGAATCCATATTTTTTTAAAGACAGTCTTAGATGCTAAGCTCTATTAAATCTTTTGAAGGCATGTCTCACGCTGTTAGCAAAAGAAACTTTTTTTTTTTCCCCCTGAAGAGATTATTCCCAAATACATCTCTCTCTCATTGCATCCTTGCAAAACTGAGTAACTGAAATCCCCTTTTGAATCTTCAGTTTAAGTGTCATCCTTACCCGAGGCTGACCCTTCCCACTGTCTGCAGATTAATTCTTCCATGCAGCCTATGACTTCACTCCACACATCATCAAACACAAATGTGAGCACAGAATCCTTCATGCAGGAATACGGAGAGATAGGAGGAAACCCCAATTTCCATCTACCACAGGACAGTCCCATTTTTCTTTCATGCAACTCCTCCTCCCTGTAAAAATGTAAGCATTACCTGTACCATAAAGATGATTTCTTTGTCTCTTACATTTTGTTGCACTTATTTAATAGGATTAAACCATCAGCTAAGGCTGCATTTCTGTTCTGTTTACTCTTAAACTGAAATAGGTCAAGGCAGCTGGCCAAATAGCTTGAAGACGTTTTTGTACTTATCACACAATATTATTTTCTGAGAGCTGATAGTTTAATAAACAGCAATATCAAATAACAGTCTAATACTGAAAGAAGTAAGCTTCTGTACGTTGGGCACTTGAACTTGTATTTCTTCCAGAATCTACCACTGACCTAAATGAGAACTGACCGAAACAATCACCTTATTACTGCATATCTTAGTTTCCCCATACAGAATGACTATAAATGACACTTCATGAATAACAAATAGTTTACCAAGGAGATCAAAGTTCCATTTAAAAATAAATATTAAAAGTTACAGTGATATTTGTTCATCACATTGTTAGGCTCCGTATCTAATGTCACTACAGAATTCTGAAGATGAGAAAGAGGAATGTAACTACTCGTGCCTGTTTAATGCTTCTCTCAGCCTGCTGCTCTAACAGCCAGGAGGTGTTCAGCGCACAGGCTTAATTCAGTTTTAGGCAATTAGATATAACCAATGAGAGGGGCGAAGAACCATAATTCACAGCAGCAAGTGGCCTTTGCTGCAGACTCTCCCACAAAGCAAGAGGTATTCTGAAGTGTGAAACCTGGAAGACAACTGCTCAAAAAAGTTTGCATTCATCTACCAAAAGGAACTTTATAGAAGAGAGAAAATCATACTGATGCAAGCACATTTAGTAGGGCGTTTGTATCTGCTCCCTGAATTAGTACTTAACGTCAAAAAGCTACAAACCTTGAAAAAGAAAAAAAGGAGACACCACTGGAAAAAGCTGTAATACTTCTACCATTTTATAGAGACAGCAATATTGTTTGCTGCAGCAATGTCTCTCTGGTCTGGTCAAAGCAAGCCACCTACCAATTTGAATCTCGTGGTCCATGCAGCTAAGTGGATGCACATTTATTAAAACCAGTTAAGTAGTTAGCAACTGACAGTACCATCCAGAGTCCTTATCCAGGCCATATGTTCATATAGTTGGGTTGAATAAAATAAAGCAAAAAGAATCCTCTTTATGCCACCCTTAATACTTTCTTCTTAAAATAAAAACAACAGTAATTATTTCTTGGCAAGAATCAAATCCAATCTAACTCTTAAATTACCACTGAAAATCTGGAAAGGTACAATTCCACTCACAATGCCAGTAACAAAACCAAAGCAGCCCTCTGCTAGTGCATAACAAACAACACTGAATTTGACTTCCTATAAAAAATAAACAGCATTTAAACAAGTTTTCTTAAATATGCCAATACATAGCAGGCTCTTGGTTATGATGGAAGTAACTATTTAAGCCAGGCACAAAAACGGCTAGTGTGAAAAATTAACAGAAAAAAATGTAGCAAAATTGTTCTAGGAAATGGACTGGAAGAATTTCCAGTGCTCTAGCAACCTCAGGCTTTTAAAAGTTCCCTAGAGGAAAGATATTTTAAAAATAAATAAATAAAATACTTCATTGACTAACATCAAAACCAAATATATGTATCTTCACAGCAGAAATTCCAGGACAGTGGTCCTACTCGCTATCTTAATATTCAATACCTACACATCTCTGCGGTCAAATGCTAAATATTCCTCCATTATGCCTTCAGAGACAATTACTCCATCTTCACCTTCTTCACTCTCTGGAGAACATGCAGTCGGAGACTTGGAATGGTCAGCCTTTTTGTGAATGGGAGTAACAGAAAGAGGTACCTTCTTGCCAAAAACACTAAATCTGAACAGGCAACAGTTTTCAAAAAAAAGCAGAAATGAAAGTTGTTATTCCACTTCAAACAGCAGCATTTGGTGAACTGACAGACAACACAGTAGTTAAGGCCAAGCAGTAGGGAGGCCAACAAATTATACATTACATACTCTTTTGGTTTGGATATTTTAAATTCTTGCTAAGGAACTTGAAACTTCAGAAAAAAATTCAAAGCTAATTAAAAAACATTCTAAAACATTAACTAATAAAAGTAGTACTAATGTGTTTTGTAGTTTTGAAGTTCTATACAAATTGAATAGATGATTAACAATAAAACCAGCTACAATACATACATATTCTTAAGAAGTCAGCAGCAGCCGACTTAAGGTGTTTCTATTTACTGACCAGTTTACTGTAGTTAGCAACAAGCTCAATTACATAGTCTTGCTATGCTGAATGTACTACTTTTAATTAAAAAGAAAAAAAAAAATGTGCTCTATTCAAAACTCAGCCTAACAGAAAGGAGTTAGGCTTCACATTTTAGGAAGGCTGTCACTGCGTTTCACCGAGGACAAAATTCCCTTCCCACCTTGTTACGGTCTGGGATAACCACTGGTACTTACTCATCAGAATCTTTTTCTCGTGTTGAACTTACATCTGAGGAACCTAAACTGCCAGAAGGTGAACTTGCATACCATCCGTATCCTTCATCTGTGGGGATCACTATCTGCTTCCCCACAACCCTGCCATGGCAAAAGCAAAGGATAAATAAATCAGAAACGCTGAAAGCAAGATTACTGAAGTGTGTAAGAACACACAGCAGCAAATCCTAAAATTTCTATTGGAAAGCTATGCGGTTTTCTTGGTGATAGTTAAATGTGGTTATTGCTTTGAGTCAGGTATATACATTAAGAAAATTTTGCTTGGTTTTTTATACTCTGCTAATTGTAAGACTTTTAAATATGGACGAAACTGTTCAAGTACACATAATGAAGATTTAAGTCTCCAGATAGCCGTAAGGACTGCTGAACTAGGGTAGGAGGATTTTTAAATTATTTTAAGCACCTGGCTTTCAGGTCTACCATACATCTTTTCTAAGAATTGTGCTATGTTAAGGCCAAGTCAGTTGCAAATAGCAGTAATCCTCTGGCAGGGAACCAAATGTGAGGCAGCGGCAGGTTTATTAATGGCAATGGCAGGCGAACTACCAGAGTGATCTTTTTACCTCTCTCTACTACATAATTGCATAAAACCACCCTGCTATTAATGTTGTTTTAAAAGCAACTGTTTCCATCCCTACCATTTTATAACTCCGTGATGGTACTAGCATTAGTCTACAAATAAAATACCTGAGATGAGGAAAGTTGGATGTCCACTGGTGACATTCTTCCCGCAGTCCCTCAATGTGTACATTCTCTTTCCGCTCATAGAGAAGCTCATCAATTTGTCTGAACATTTGCTGAACTTGTTGTGTGGCAGCTTTATCAAATTCCTAGAAAGGGAAGTTATCCTATAAATACCTAGTGAATAGGATTTGGAGGAGTTTTTTGATTGTATTTTTTTATAATTGAAAAAGACAACTATTTGATTAAAGCTTAAGCAGGACTGATTTAAACAGTTCTATTTCTTTTGCATAGAAAGACATTAACTTTAAATAATTTCCCCCCAGAGATGTTGCAGACTGCTGTTAAGACTGATGGTAGCTACATAAAAAGCTCACATCGACACAATAGGGAAACTATTAAAACCTTCTGAAGTATCTGTATTATTATATTAAGTTAAAGACATAGTAATTTACATAAAAGAAATCAGAACAGGAAGGATAAAATTCAGTGACATTTTAATGAAATGGAAAATTAGTGGCTTGCAGTGTCCACAGACAACAGCAAAACAAAAACCAATGCAGACCGGTGTGAAACACTGAAAGCGAAGGATGTTCAAGACCTTTGTTACATGTTCTCGTGTAGCTAGAAAATGGGGTCGTTTCCATCTCACCTCGCAGAAAGCAATAGCACACTTTCTTGTGGTAGATGTGGAATAAACCAAACATTTCTAAATTATAATAATATTTTAGGGGCTTACTGTATTTCGAGAAAGTACAAGTACATACAAGTAGGCATAAGTTTGATAAACTCACACCAAGTTTCTGAAAGTCATCCACTCACATTTGGGATCCCATAATAACAGCATTTCTTATGTTGTATAGATACACTTATGCATTAAATGTTTTGCATTTCCAGAGTTTTAGATGGAGATGCAGAATATTAATTGAATAATATGAGCCTAATATGTTTTGATCCGAAAGGAAAGATAGGGAAGAGATGAAAAAGTAAGTTCTTTCTGTAATCACTACCATGATTTACTGACAGATCCAATCCTCATTTTTATCTTGCAATGTATTTGCAATGGTATTTCAAAGGTCTTTCTACCCACTACTACACTTGGCTTGGATGACTACGTTCTACTCACATCATAGCCCCAGGAGAAGACTGAGCTGTCTTCAGTGGAGGTGTCGGCGTAACTCTCACTAGCAGACCGTGAATTTCCATGATCAGCTGGCACAACAGAAAGGTAATCTGGTCCCTTCCAGATTTTGGACTCCCTGAAATGCACGTGTTGAGGAAAAAAAGGAAGACAAAAACCCCCCAGTAACAGACAATGACAAATGAAGTAGGGAAGTACACTTTTCTTTCTGTACAAAAAAAAAAAAAAAAATCACAGATATATCAGAATAGGTCTTAGCAATGATAAAGGTTTTCACAGGGCAAATATCTACTTCCGAGGCATTTAAGCAGAAGCCATAGTACACAAGCAATTATAACAACTGTAACTCATAACAATCTCAATGACATAGGAAGTCCAGAGGTCAAGCAAAACATAGATTTTTTAAAAAATTATCTCAGTTAAGCTGCAGTCTATTTCTAGTCCCCGGCCTATACCACTCAGGAACTATTTTTGTCCTTTCTCCTCTTGTTTCTGCCATAAAATTAGACGACCTGGGCTATTTGTGAGCTGGGAACAGAACATAGCTACACACTTTTTATTATTTCCAAAATAGGAAGGACATGTTCTGAAATGACAGAGAGCTAAGGTAAAGCCTAAGCCTACCAACTTTATTACTGCTGTAAAGATAACTCAAGGCAAAGGTGCCTGGTTTTGCCATTGTCTCCAGACAAAGACTCACGTTATGTTATGACAAGTACCTTGAGATCTTGCCTTCCTTTTCGGCCGTGGGTTCGGCTGGGCACACCTCAGCCCCTGGTTCCGGTGGTGGGTGATGCCGCAAGGCACGTTTTGGAAATCCTTGTCTAAACAAGACATGGAACTTGACATCACTTACAAGAATAAAAATCTACAGAGTTCCCAAGTTCCCAATTCCAAGGAAAATAAACCATCGCACCATGGCCGTCGGGCACGTCCACGTGGTGCGGCGCCCGGTCTGGCAAAAAAATGGAAAGTGCTGCACAATACATCCTGTCTGAGCTGCTGATCACTGGCCATTGAGAATTTCTCACAAAAGCTTTAGAATTGTGGTATCAAAACTAACTCCAAGCTAAACATGGAGTTAAAGGTCTCCGCTTAGAAATCGGTATCTTCCTCTAAACTTCAAATGTTGTTGGGAATTGGACTACAGCGCTCTAAAAGCAGATACAACGTCATTATCCCTGTAGGAGACATGATCAAAGAGAACAAGAGTAGCCACCAAACTGTGCACAGGCAAGTTAGGAGAAATAGCATTTGCTCGTTTTTTGTTTTGTCACAGTTCAGACGTCTAGGAAAGAGGATGGTGAAAAGTCATAGTATTTGGAGGCGAAAGCCCTGTTCCACGTACCAGCTGAGCAAGCCTTCAGTACAGAAGCTCTCCTGTCATTTCTCCGCTGGCCAGAAAAGGCGACAGAATTGACCGTAAAGTCCGATTCAAAGTAACTAACGACCAAAACTGATTTTGTATTATTTTAAATTTGTTTAAACCTCTGGCCTTCCTCCAAAAAAAAAAAAAAAAAAAAAAAAAGCCCACACATCCGCCCGCTCTCGGGCCAGAGGAGACGACAAGCGCAGGGGTTTAACGCCGATCTCAGACCTGCGTGTTTCAGGCGGCCAGTCGCGGCCCCGGCCCCGGCCCCGGCCCCGCCGCCCGCCCCGTCACCGCCCCGGGCTGGCGCGCAGCGAGGACTCACCGCTCCCGCGCTGCGCCGGGGGGCACGGGCCGCCGCGCGTATCGCGAGATCATCCTCCTCCGCCCCGCCGCGCCGCCACCGCCGCCACCGCCGCCATCGCCGCCGCCGCGCCGCCCCACCCCCGGGCAGGCGTGGCCTCGCCGCCCGCCTCGGCCCCGCCCGGCGCCGCTGGGAGCCGCGGCCATGGAGGGCGTGGGGCGGGCGGAGGACGCCGTGCGTTACCGCCTGTTCGCGGCGGCGGGGCCGGGGGACGAGGCGGTGCTGCGCCGTTGCGTCGAGGGGGTGGCGGTGCGGTTCGCGCCGCTCCTGGCCGCCTACATCTGGCAGCGGCAGCCCTTCCGCCTGCGCTACGTGCCGCCGCGGGGTGAGCCCCGGGGGGACGCGGCTGCGAGAAGCAGCGCGGAGGGCGGGAGGCGGCGGCGGCGTGCGAGGGGGAGGGAGGGAGGGAGGCAGAGCCCGGCGGGGCGCTGAGCCGCCTCTCCTGTCTCTGCCCCCGGGCAGGCGAGACACCGGCGCACGTCGGCGGCACCACGCTGTTCGGGGATAACGTGGAGGACGAGTGGTTCATCGTCTACCTCGTGCGGGAGATCACCAGGGAGTTCCCGGGGCTGGCGGCCAGGTAACGGCCCGACGGCGCGGGCCTCCCGCTGAGGGGCCCGGCGGTTGGGGCGGCGGGACAGCGGCTCTCCCGGGTGGGGCCGGCCCCAGGTCCTGTCTTCGTGTTCCAGAAAAAAAAAAAATATGCAGGCCTGGAACCTGCCCTTAGTAATCGGGTTGAGCGACACGCGTCGTCGTGCTGTGTGAGATCTTCCCTGTTAAGAAACTGGTTTCTCCTTGGCCAGGATTGATGACAACGATGGGGAATTTCTCTTGATAGAAGCGGCTGATTTTCTCCCAAAGTGGCTGAATCCTGAGAATAGTGACAACAGGGTGAGTAAAACTTTTGTACCAGTTCGCGAGTGGCTCACAATGGCCTTTTACTTGCCAGTTGGAGCTTCCTCTTACACCTCTATCCAGCCAAGTGGTCTGACTGGAAATCCAGAGTGCCAGCTTTCCCTTACTAGTGAAGAAACCTTTGGTCAGGGCTCAAGGCTTGTTTTAACTAACAACGTAGTTTTTTCTCAGCACAGTCTGTTTTCATTCTGGTTTCAATGAGCTGCTTTATGTTTGCTGTGGACGTTGAATGACTTAACCACTGGAAACCTCTGATACTCGATTCTGCTCTGCCTGCTCTTGCAGAATGCTATGTGGAGTGAATGCACCCTGAGAAACTGCTCTAGAGATACCTGGAAATTGCTACAGATACCAGGTGGTTCTTCTAGAATTGGTTTGTCAGTGGAAGGAGGAAAGAGAAAGTTCTTATATTAATATGTTCTTATGCTAATGGCATAACATTCATATGGAGACTACAGGCCTGCCAGCTAAGGTGTGAGGCTGTGCTGTTCAGCCAGATCTGACTCTCACATATAAATCATTCTGCAGGAGCTGTTCCACAATGCAGAGCTAACCAAACTTTTTAAAACTTGCTACTCACGGTGCCAGATGTGAAGGCAGTGAAGCTGTCATGCTATTGATCTGTAAAATCAGTCAGTTCAGCCAGCTTCCCATTTTCTAGGTTATTGGAGTGCAGGGAAATCTTGGGTAACATGGGAATTGTGGAATGTATTTGCGGTGCAATGCAAATGTACCATATTGCTCTCCTCAGGAGCACTCTTGGGATCAGCCTGAGCTTTCTAGCACTGCTGTAGCCACTTGGATTTTTTTCTACCGTATACTTGAGTGCTCAGGCATGAGGGTTTACTGCCCTCAGACTGGGGAATGCTCAATATAGGAGCGTTGCAGACCCTGCAAGGAGACAGACTGGGTCTGATATAGGTGAATTAATGAGCAGACTCCTTCACCCAGAGTCTGCAGCCACATCAGCTTGCTGTGGGTGATTGCTAGTCACAGTTTCTTGGCAATGGATTTAAATGAAAGGAACTTACTTTTTCATTACCACAGATTTGTTTAAATTTTTTTTCGCCACAGGACTCTTAAAAGAAAAGGTGTGGAACACAGAAATGAATTGCAAACCTGTATCTTGACTATCAGGGCTGTAATTTCCTTCCAATTGAGGGAACAGATGGAGTGAGGAAGTCGATAATGTTACATTCAGTTCTTAGGATGGGGAACTGCCAGAGGTCATGTGTAGCACCTGGAACAATGCTTTTCAGTTCCTGTCCTGTTCTTCAGCAGTTAAATTATGCTGATTCTCCTGAAGCAAATCTCTAGTTGAAGAGAAATGTTTGCTATTACTGTTATTAAGGAAACTAAATACATTGGACCAAACGTGTTGCAGTTAAAATAGGGGTTTTTTTATTTACTGGTTGGATCATGGTCTGTATTTACCTCATCTCCCATTTAAAAAAAAAGTGCTGTTTTCTGTATTCTCTATTTGTAGTTTGGTATTCTCTATGTTTAAACATGTGCATTTGTATATTAAATTAAATTTTCGGCTGCCTAGTGTGTGACTGTTCTGATTCTGTCTGATGAGACTGTTGCTACCTGCCAGGTGTTCTTTTACAAAGGAGAGCTGCACCTCATCCCGCTGTCAGAGACCCAGGAGCAGGAATGTGACCTATCTGCCACCACTCTGACAGTCTCGCAGGCGCTAACGCTGTTGTCCACCTGTTCAGAAGAGTTCTTGGCTGCAGAGCCCATCAGAACAGCAGTGTATAAACGCATCAGTGGGTATGTGGGTGTTTCACTTTGGTCTTCTGCAACAGTGAGTTTTGATTCTGGGCTGTCTGGGGTGCTTTCTTGTATTCAGTCGTTTTCCTGTTAGGTGTGATAAAGTGGCTTCCTTTTCAGAAACTAGTGTTTTTTCTGTGGTCTTCTTCTGAAGAGGGGGACCAGTGCCCTGTAGGCTGTGCTGTGATCTGGGGGCTCTGGAACTGGTTCACTGCTGTGATGCCACACCTGACAAGGACAAGTTATTCTGCCTTCACATCCTTCTTGTATGGAAAAATCTGGAAGTTCTGTGGGCCTTTAGGAGCCCTTTGAGGAGGGAGAAAAAGGATTGCAAACTGAAGTGTAGAACCATCACGCTTTTCAGAGCGATAGCTTCTCACAGGTCTATTCAGCACCATAAGTTATTTTTTGCAAGGATTTGACAGCACAAGCCAGATGACTTCTACACCCGGTGCAGCGAAGGATGCTGTGTAGTAGGACGTGTTAGTCCAGGTCACAGTGATTCATTTTACCAACGTGGGGATTAAATTTTTATTAGCCATGTATAGTTCTGTATAAACAGACATTCCAGGTGTTAGATTAGTGGAGTTTTAACTTTAGTTTAGAATAATCATCTGGCATTTGGCCCATAATACAGATTAGTATTAAAATGAAAATGGGAATATTAGTTTAAAGAGTGGTTTCAGCTTGCGATGCACTTACTACGCTATGTTGTTATTGTACAATACAGGTATCCTGAGAAAATTCAGGCCTCATTTCACCGAGCCCACTGCTACCTTCCAGCAGGCATTGTGGCAGTGCTGAGGCAGCGCCCTTCGTTGGTGGCTGCAGCAGTCCAGGCCTTTTACCTGCGAGATCCTGTGGATTTACGAGCGTGTCGCTCTTTTCAGACTTTCCCTCCAGACGAGCGTGTGATGACCATAGTAAGTGATCCTTCTGATGAAACTTGTCACTGAATTAGGTTCTGTAAGTGACGAAGGTTCTGTGGTCTCAAGTGATACAACTATGTCGATTTAATTGTTAAAATAGAATGTTTTCTGATTTATTTTTTTAATTTTGACACTAGACATGCATTTCCAGTTCTTTATGTTAAATAGCTTTTCTGCCTTCAGATTGACATAGCTAGGCTTTCAAATGGCTAATCAGAAGTGTTTCTGAAATCGGAGGTTACTGTTAGTAGCTCCTCTGCTGGAATGCTTGCTAAGGAAATTCATCCAGTTCCGTGATCAGAGCAGTCTGACAGCACTGCCAGCCAACACCAGGAGTTGCTTCTAACTACCCCTAGGTGTTCATTCCAAGGCTTTTCACCTTCTCAACCGTGCTTACGCAGCTCTGTGAAAGCTACTTTAGGAAGTGGTTTATGTTCCTTGTCCAAGCAGTGTTGTATTGGATATGTTTGCATAACAGAGTTATGCTGCTAGGCTCCTGAAAATAAGTTTGGGAGTCAAATTGCAGATTTCTTGAATGTTTTTGAAATCTCAGCTTTGGTTTTGTTAATTGAAAAGAGCCCTTACGTTTTTCAAAATACACCATGTTGGCCTGAATCTTTTAAAATGTCTTTAAAGTGAATGAAGTTCATGTTTATTTAGAGATGTCAACCTGGAATATACTTCATTCGATCTGAAAAGCAACATATCTTAAGCAAACGTATCGAAGATGTATTTTGATTACAATCTCAGGTATATGGATGATTTAAAACAAAATTCAGATAAATCTGGTGGAAAGTTGATGCCTGTACACAGCACAGTCACACTGCAGTAAGTTATTTTCTTTTGCTGGGGCTTTTTCAGGTTACTTTCACAAAGTGTTTATATGCACAACTGGTGCAGCAGAAATTTGTTCCGGATAGACGCAGTGGATACACGCTGCCCCTCCCATCTCACCCTCAATACAAAGCCTATGAACTGGGCATGAAGCTGGTAATTACTTTTTATGCATTTTGTACTTAGTCTTTAGTTTGCTTGTTTACATATGTCCAAGAAATTACTCTGCCTGTAAGTTGCCTGCTTGTACAGAATAATGCAAGCAAATTCAGTTACCATTTTTCTGGAAGTACATTATTGTGGGAGCTTTCTTTTACAGGCTAGAGCACTCTTGTACTTATATAGATTACAAGTACAGGTCAAGCCTTCATGCTTGTATGAGGAGTAGCTTGTGCACTACAGACCTGTCTTCTAGGTTGCTTTTCCCATGTAGAGAAACTTTGCGAAGTCAGAATGAACCATTATTGCTGCAGAAAGACAGATTTCAACTTCCAAAGCAAGATACTGCTCCCTGACGTATAATTGGGTTTGGCACCTCCTTCTCTCAAGTGGCAGTATCAGGAGCTCGATGGCAGTCAGTTCTTTACGTG